ACAGAGCTGGAGTGGAGGAGTTTAGAGTCAGAAGAGGGAAGACATAATTCATTCTAAATATTTTGACTCTCATTTGAAAGAAAAAATAAAAAAAAGCTTTGACCAGCTAAGTTACCTGATGCTTACTATCAGCTATTTGCATGTATAAAGCTAACACTGAAGTCTACTTAGGCCTCCTCCACTAACTTCAAGACTTCACCAAGCTATCTCTTCAAATACACACCTACCTCATCAGGGGTACCAGCTTATAGAAACGCATCTGGCATAAAGAGACTTAAAGGAAAAAAAGTAATTTTTAAAAGCTCATGAGAGCTCCTAAAAGAGCTATAAAAGCAGTCTTCAGAATCTGTTTATAGCAGCTGTTCCTCTTAGTGTAGGTCAAATATTGCTAACACTTTTATCTACAACTGTGGACCACACAGATTTCCAAGTTTGTGACTTCTTTTCCAAAAATTGAAACAGTAATGTGAAATGACTTCTTAAAATAATATATTAAGAGACGAAATTTAAGTCAAAAAGAGCACATTCCCTCTAAATCATAATGCTGGTATCACTGTTCAAAGAAATTTTTTGAATAAGCACCCCAAAATTTAAGCCTTTAAAATATTAGGAGTCATGTTTTATAAAAGTCACAGGGGGAAACAGTGACAAACTTACCTGTGGCAAGAAGCACCAGCTCTTGGTCAGGACTCCAACTCATGACAGAGATACCACTGGCTACACTCCCAACACATTCCAGCTGCATCAGTAGACAAAAATGAGTTTTTAAAATACAGCTGAAGTGTACTTGAAATACAGCTAAAGCCATGACAACAACTTTTTGTAAAAAAAAAAAAAAACGTAACGCAAAGACTCTAATTTGCAAAACGCTTAAATATGATATTTAAGCAGTAGCTCCTGATTTTTTAAGCTTCTACAAAAAACACATGACTTATTTAAGGATGCTTGAGGTTTCCTCCTCACTGGACTCCTCCACTTACCTGGCATGTGCTGAGATTGCAGAGTATGACGTCTCCGGAGGCTGTGGCCATACACACAGACTCCTGATCCAGCAAGTCCTGAATACCAACAATGCAGCCACTTCCATCCTCTGGAAGAAAGCCTTCAGACACTAAAGAAATTTCATTTTTCACCTTTCACCAAAACAAATACATAAACAAATTAGGCCAATCTATTTTCAAGGACAATTCATAACATTTCCAAAAATAAGTTACTTTTTAATGCTCCTTTTCTAATATAAAAGCTTTCAAGTGTTTTTCTAGATTAAAATCCAAACTTCCATTTGAGAAATATCACAACACTACTGTCTTTAATTAAAAAAAAAAAAAAAAGTTAACGGGACCTTTCTGCCAAGTAAGCACTATACAAAAGAAGCATGGTCTCTTTAAAAAATATTCAATAAAACATGAAGAAAACTATGGTTTTTAACTAAGGTTTCCTAAGATTTCTACAGAATGGGGAGAAAGAACAAAGAATGCAATCACCTAAAATACATTAGTAGCAAATATAATTAAGGGAAGAGCTCAGAATCAACTCAAAGATTTTTTAAAGTACGTGCGTACATAAAATACACACATGTACATACATATGCATATATACATATGTGTATATGTAAGTATATACATATACGCTCAGGATCCAGCACTGAGGATTCTCATTTAGCTGGCACAGGACGGAGGCTGAAACACAATTTTAAAAAGTTCTACAAGGCAATTTTCATTTGCATTCTCAGTTGAGATCCACAATTATAAGTAGTATTTACATGATGGAAAGGGTAAAAAGGGCACCCACACAAAATGTAAAGTCAGAATTTTGCCAACTTACAATTCAAATAGAAGCAAAGTTAAGGGTAGGTTACAACTTTAGTAATGTCTCATATGACACCAATATAAAGCCAAGGGAATGTTCATTTAGGAGGATATGAATTCAGTAAGATTCAAACTAAAGACTACCTGGGGGAAGCAGGTTTAGAAAAAGATAAGTCGGGGATCCCTGGGTGGCTCAGCGGTTTAGCGCCTGCCTTTGGCCCAGGGTGCGATCCTGGAGTCCCAGGATTGAGTCCCACATCGGGCTCCTGGCATGGAGCCTGCTTCTCCCTCCTCCTGTGTCTCTGCCTCTCTCTCTCTCTCTCTCTCTCTCTCTCTCTCTCTCTCTCTCTATCATAAATAAATAAATAAATCTTAAAAAAAAAAAGAAAAAAAAGAAAAAGATAAGTCGAGGGTCTTGCAAGTGCTGGCATTCTCCATCATTAGCTTACTTCTCTTGTGACAGGGTCTATTTCTATCAGTCCATGGTCTGAGCCAATAAGCACGGTGCTCTGTTCAGTTCGGAGAGAGATGCACTGAGGTCTCCCTGGAGCCTGAATATCCCTGAACTCCAGGGTCTGAAGTAACTTTAGATTTCTCATGATGAGGCAACTCCTGAAAGAAAAATACAAATACCCCTTGGTGAAGAATTACTCTGAGAGAAAGGAATAGCTTACCAGGAATAAATGTCACTCGTATAAGCAAAATGATTCAGGGGCCGAGATGTGGTGATTAGAATAATCAAGAAAAAAAGAAAAAAGATCTCATCTGAACCCACATAGAGACGTGTGGCAGCAACCTCACCAACTCAGAGTGTTTATGGTTTACAAACTGAGATTCTGAAATCTACTCTACATTCTTACTCTTTGGGAGAGGCAAGACCCTCAACTTCAGAATTGTTTTTTCAAAAAGACTTAACATGGATGGAACTGGAGGGTATTATGCTGAGTGAAGTAAGTCAATCGGAGAAGGACAAACAGTGTATGTTCTCATTCATTTGGGGAATATGAATAATAGTGAAAGGGAATATAAGGGAAGGGAGAAGAAATGTGTGGGAGATATCAGAAAGGGAGACAGAACATAAAGACTTCTAACTCTGGGAAATGAACTAGGGGTGGTGGAGGGGGAGGAGGGCGGGGGGCGGGGGGTGGGGATGAATGGGTGACGGGCACTGAGGGGGGCACTTGACGGGATGAGCACTGGGTGTTATTCTGTATGTTGGTAAATTGAACACCAATAAAAATTAATTTATTAAAAAAAAAGTTTATATAAAGGTTATATTAAAAAAAAAAAAAAAAAAGACTTAACAGGGCAGCCCTGGTGGTGCAGCGGTTTAACGCCGCCTACAGCCCGGGGTGTGATCCTGGAGACCCGGGATAGAGTCCCACGTCGGGCTCCCTGCAGGGAGCCTGCTTCTCCCTCTGCCTGTGTCTCTGCCTCTCCCTGAATAGATAAATAAATACATAAATAAATCTTAAAAAAAAAAAAGACACATTAGTCATTCCTCAGGAGAGTTGGAACGATCAAAATAAATAGGAAAACACTTCTATTTTTTGCATATAAGAACATCTTTATGGGGGCGCCTGGGTGGCTCAGTTAAGCATCTCCCTTCGGCTCAGGTCAGGATCCCGAGGGCCTGGAATGGGGCCCTATGGAGCTCCCTGCTCAGTGGGGAGCCTGCCTCTCCCTCTGCCTCTGCTGCTCCCCATGCTGGCTCATGCTCTCTCTCAAATAAACTTAAAAAAAAAAATCTTTATAACCTGAAAGATTCATAAATCCATATAAAACTCCATAGATATATACAACACACACACGCTGTAATGTTTCAGGACCATCATCGTTATTCCCTTGTCTTCTCAGAAGTGTCCTACTCCTTTTCTTTTTTTTCTTTTCTTTTATTTTTTTTCCCCTACTCCTTTTCAAAGTTAGGGAAGCAGTATTCTCCACAGTCCCCCAGGACCTCAACTTACTAGTAGCTTTTCTTTTACAACTGCAATCCCCAACTCTTTCACCCTCAATTAGCCTCTTCCCAGCCCTTAATCGTGCTAAAGGTCTCTTCCTATCAAGTCTGTGTCCTCTCTGAAATTCCTGGCAACTCCTCCTCCACCCTGGTTCCTCCGTCCTGTCGCCTCTTGGCCCACACGGCTCATTTCAGGCTGATGAGATCCCCACGTCCAGCCCTGACCCTCTCCAAAGTGAACCAAAGTCAAACCACACGTGCCGCCTTCTGAGGTTTTTCACACGCAGCCCTCACAAGCACGTCGCACACGAAACACTGCTGTTCTCCCACTCAAATGAGCTGCTATTTGAGGACATGGCATTTCTACTCTCTCTGTCCCCCAAGCTGAAAAATGGTCTCCCCCCCCTTTTTTTTCTTTTTCTCTCTCTCTCTCTCTCTCTCTCTCTCTCTCTCTCTCTCTCTCTTTCTTTCTTTCTTTCTTTCTTTCTTTCTTTCTTTTTGCTCACATTTCTCACCAAACTATTCATTTACTGGTTGGTTCCGCCGCTGTCAACATACAGCTCCAGTCCTTCGCCCCGCGTCCGATCGATTCCACCACCCGGTTTGCGGCTCGCAGGAGACATCCGCTGGGCGCTCGGGTAAGCGTCCGGCTCTGAAGACGCGGAGCGCTGCCGGCGCCCACACGGAGGTCACCGCCCGGAGGGACGGCGCGCACCGAACACCCCTTAGACGGAGCAGCACCGGAGGCGTCTCCACGGCGAGTCGCAGACGCGACAAGCAGCGCCGCGCCCCCTGCAATCCCCCCTCGGCCGCCGCGCGTCAGGCGGCTGCACCGCGAGGAATCCAGGGGCCGTACACGTGCGGCCCGGGAGCACCCGTCGTCCCCCCCGCCCCCCGCGAGCGAGCCGTTCGAACGCTCACCTGCGACGCGCCCCGCCAACAGCGGCGCGTCCACCTTGGCCTCACCGCCGCCGCGCGGCCGGCCTTCCGGAGCCCAGGGCCGCTCCACCCGGGGGACGCCGAGCAGCGGGCGCCGCAGGGGGGACTCAGCCCGGCGCCCCGGAGTGACGTCACGAGGCGCAGGGGGCGTGGCCGGCCCGCTCCCGAGCCCCGGCACGCCGGAGGTGGGGAGCGGCGCGGCCCCTCCGCCCTCCGCCCTCCGCCCTCCGCCCTCCGCCCTCCGCCCGCTTCTGCTGTCGGATCCCGGCTTTGACGTCGGACTCCAGCGCACAGGGCTAACCCGGCCCGGCGGCGGGGTCTGCGGGGCCGGGACAGCAGGGCGCGTGCGCACGCCGCGGGCCGCGCGCCGGAAGTGCGCCGTCCTCCCGCGCCCGCTCGGAGGAAGCGCTCGGGGCGCGCGGGGCGGAGGCGGGGGTGGTGGCGCCCGCGGTCGCCATGGCCACCGAGCCCGCGGCCGCGGAGCCCGCCGTGCCGTCGCTCGTGGATCGTTACTTCACTCGCTGGTACAAAGCCGGTAAGTGGGGGGTTCGGCCGCGCTGTCCCGACGCTGCGCGGACCGGGCTGACAGATCGCGAGCCACGCGCGCTTTCCCCGGCGCTTCCTCCGCGCGGCCGAGGGACCCGAGCCCTGCGTCCGCTCGCGGCGCGGGGAGGCCGGTGCGGGGCGGTGGCGGCCCGCGGCGCAGGCCGGCCAGGGCACGGGGGCATTCCGTGCCCGCGAGGACCGGCTCGGCCCCACGGCAGCCGCGGCCGCGCGGCGACTTAAGCCATCGGGTGGGAGGGAGGGGAGCGGCAGGAAGGGAGGGGGAGTTGGCTCCGGGGAGGCCGCTAGGCAGCGGAACCCAGCATTTCCCCGGAAGGTGCCGGTGCCACGCACGTGCCCCGTGTCGACCTGCTCGTGTGCCCGGTAGATGTCAGTGGGGCGCGTCCTCGAGGCCGACTCCAACCCCTGCTCGACGCAAGAAACAGGCGTACTTATTTTTTAGAGAATATTGTGGCACACAGTTTTTTTTAGCCAAATTTAGGGTTGACTAAACGTCCCGGCTTACCCGGAACTCAGGGTTTCCCAGAATCTGAGACTTTGAGAGCTAACACGAAGACAGTGCTGGGCAAACCCGAAGAGTGGGTCACTAGAGAACTGACCGACGAGACCGGCGCCGCTGTCTTACACGACGGCCGCCCGTTCTGATAGGAATAACGAGTGTGTTCATTTTAAAGTGAAGATGAAGCGAGATGGAGCAAAGAGTCAGTCATTTAATATTGAGCGAAGGGTCCCACCTGGGCAGATCCCTTTCAGTACTTTACAGAAAGCCTCTGTGCACATCTTTTTAAGTGATGAAGGGACGCCGGTGATCAGTGCGTGGGCGTCCTCATAATTGTCTCTACGAGCACAGTGGCACCAGCCAACAGGCTCGTTCATCATTCTTCCAGATGTCAAAGGCAAACCCTGTGAGGACCACTGTATACTACAGCACTCCAACCGGTAAGCAAATTGGGAACCTTAAATTATAAAAATGACGTGTCTGGTATGGTCCTGGATTAAACACATATTCATTAAGTGATTCTCCTCCACTGTGTTGAAGTGGCGTTTGTTACAGTTTGGCTGAGGAGGAGCCTTTCAGTGCTTACTCCAGACCTGCGGGTGGGGGAGCCCCCTCAGCCAGCCACACCCCCCCCACCCCCCCCCCACCCCCCCCCCCCCCCCCCCCCGGCAGTGACCAGCCTCTGCCCAATCACAGCGAACCGTGGGGCCTCACAGCAGGGACAAGGGCAGAGGCACAGGAGTGTCCTGTGCGCACAGCCATGCCTTACCCCTCTTTCTTCCACCTCAGGTCCACCTGAGGACTTCTCCTGCGTTGCCTGTTTCTGGGAAGGCAATTCAGTCTCTTTTTTCTCCTCTCTTATTAGTGCATTCCCTTCTACAGTTAAGGTCCAGCAGTATGCAGAGGAAAATGGGGGGAATGATAGTCCGACTAAATAGCTGTCGGTGGGTATGTTCTTGGGCCCGTAGGTGGACTGTGTGGTGTGAGGAAGAATTATACCAACCGGTAACAGCATCAAATTTTTGCTCCTTGTAGAATATGTGTCATCACATTAGCAGAATCTCATCCAGTTCTTCAAAGTGGGAAAACAATCAAAAGCATCTCCTATCAAATCAGTACTAACTGTAGCCGACTCCAGAACAAGGTCTCTGGGAAATTTAAGCGGGTACGTCCTGTAATTCTCTACTTAAGTCTTCAATGTCTTAGTCATGATAGATCTAGACAATTAGATGTGCTGATTTCTCTTTAAGATCTATTTATTTATTTTAGACAGAGCGTGCGCACGTGCACAAGCCAGAGGGGCAGAGGGAGAGGAAGAGAGAATCTCAAGCAGACTCCCATGTTGAGTGCAGAGCCTGACATTACAACCTGAGCCAAAACCAAGAGTCGTACACTTAATTGACTGCAACACCCAGGCACCCCTGATATGCTGATTTTAAGAATACTTTAACCCTAAAGAAATTCTTAGACCAAAAAATGAAGTATTTCAGGAAGTATAGGATTTGTCATATTTTCAGGTTTTTAAAAAAATTTTTATTTATTCATGAGAGACACAGAGCAAGGAAGAGACACAGGCAGAGGGAGAAGCCAGAGGCAGAGGGAGCCTAATGTGGGACTCGATCCCAGGACCCCAGGATCACAACCTGAGCCAAAGGCAGATGCTCAACCACAGCCACCCAGGCGTCCCATAGAACACCCTCATTTATACTCCCATTTGTAGTTTTGAAATCCCCCATTTGTGGTTTTGAAATTGTAATGTACCTTATAACTATTAATTTCTCCCTGTTCAGGGAACACATGGACTTAGAAAAGCATGAACCTTTCTTAAAAGACAAAGTCTAAGGCAGCCCAGGTGGCTCAGCAGTTTAGCACCGCCTTCGGCCCAGGGCGTGATCCTGGGGACCGGAGATCAAGTCCCACGTCAAGCTCCCGGCATGGAGCCTGCTTCTCCCTCTGCCTGTGTCTCTGCCTCTCTCTCTCTCTGTGTGTGTCTCATGAATAAATATATAATCTTTAAAAAATAAAGTTGATAAAATAAATTTAAAAAAATTTTTTAAAGTTGGTAAAATATATTCTTAATCTTTAATTAAACTATCATTTATCTTAGTCTGCTCTTTCCCCTAGAGCCTACGATGGTACCTGGCCCACAGTAGGCACTTACATAAATGTTTGAATAAATGACTTTTCTGTAGTATTGGTAAATACTACATTTTTATTTAAAGCAATAGCTCCAGGAATATATTCTATTATAACACTGAAGACTGCCTTTCAAAGGAAAATGAAGATGTCCATCATTTAATTACTTCTTCCCTTTTATTATTAGGGGGCACAGTTTCTAACAGAGCTTGCACCTCTGTGTAAGATTTACTGCTCAGATGGAGAAGAATACACCATATCTAGGTAAGTCGCTTTTTAACCACAATTTAGGAGAAACAAAGGAGGTAGTATTTTTCTTCAAAACAACTTTTGTTTTAAATAGCTGTGTTAGAGGACGGTTGATGGAAGTGAATGAGAACATTCTCCATAAGCCATCTATTCTTCAAGAGAAGGTAAAGGAGGGAGAAAAAAGTATCCCATCTACATACTTTTTAATCTCATTTTATAGATAAGACAATACTAAATATTCAGTTCCTTTCTAGCCATCCACCGAAGGCTACATTGCGGTTGTATTGCCCAAATTTGAAGAAAGTAAAAGCATAACAGAAGGGTTACTGACACAGAAACAGTATGAAGAAGTCGTGGTGAAGCGCATTAATGCCACAACGGCTCCATCATGAGGATTGTAATGGGATAATGAACAACGTGCTGTGCTTATCCCTCCCTGGCCTGTGGCCTGAGCGATCCAAGCACTAAAGAACCACCTACACATGTGAAGTGCTTCACCCCAAGCCATCCGCAGAGAAGCCTGACCTTAAAACTTAACCTAGTTTTCCCCCTTTATCTTTTATAACGAGTCTTGGTTCTTGTTTTGTCCTCAGCCTCCCAGATCTGCCCTGTCTATGTACTCACTCTGTTCTTGTGCTTTTCTAACAACTGGCAAGGAGAGGATGTTTTTCTGATTAAAAATAAAGCATTTTGAGAAAAATTTGGATAAAACAGATAAGTGTTAAATAGCAAAGTAAAAATAATTTAACCATCATCCTATAACCCATTGGTAAATACTACATTTTGATATGCTTCGGTTTGAATGTTACGGCATGGTTATTGTTTTTGCCTTGATTTTCCTTCAGTTTGAAGTTGGGAAAAAAAAAAAATCAGGCCTTTTTTGCCCATTTGGCTTCTGAATGACACTACAGAAGAGGCTAGAACAGCCTCTTCAGCCCTAGCTCTTCTCCCTTTAGATTGTAGGGGAGGGGCAGAGCATAGAGTATACCTCCTCCACTCCTTATACGGTCCGTAGCTCGGATGGCCTTCTCTGAAACAAAGTCGAGTGTAACACTGGCTTCTTAAATAAGGGACATAGGAAAAGGCTTTGAAAACTACAAAGGGCTTTCCCAACATGGAAGTATTCTAATGCAGTGTAAAGCTGCTTATCACAGTACGTACAGTGTAGTTGCTCAGTCACACACTCTAGCTGTGGTGTAGCCAGCCAAGAAGTCATTGAGAAGTTGCTGTAATCCAAAGACATAGATGCCTTTGAACAGAACAAAAACTTTTACATCATCTAAACTAAAAACAGAACTGATATGCTTTAAGATTGTCTACTTACTTACACTGAATTTCAAATAAAAGGACTTTTTAAATTGTTATTTTTTTCTTAAAGGCTGTAGCAAATGTACATTTAAATATCTCTGTAAATAAAACAAGATGTAATTTAATACAGAAGAAATCCCTTTACTTGTAAATTCCTTTGGTTCTCTATCCCCTTAGCCTGTTGAAGTCGTAAGTCACCCCTTCCTCACCCTCCATTGCACTTAAATAAGAGAATATTCTCATTTCAGGTATATAAAAGTATTTTGTAAATCTAGAAGTTATTTTTGATTCACAAGAAAAACTTCTTGTAACTTGAGTGGCAGCATGACTGTCCTTTAAATATACCCACCAGACAAATATAGGTAGTAAATGTACAGACATCTACACTGATGGTGCTAAGAGCTGGAAACAGAAGCACAAACCAGCTGATCCCCATTTTGAGTAGCATAATGATTCCTGAAGACATCAAAAAGATACTAAAGATAGTAAAAGATGTATTTTTGCATGTAACATTACCTCACATTGTTCTCCCATTATTTCTATTTCTATTGTAATTTTAAAGAATATTTTGGTCTCAGAGAATAAAAATCATGCTTGATAATTTTTATAAAAGAAGTATTTTTAAAGGTATTAACTAAGCCGAGTATATCCCATTTTCTCCTGAATGCTTACAGTAACTTCAAGTGTCTTTTAATAAAATATTGACTGGCTAATTGGTAGTACTGTGGTTCATCAGGATTTTGTGACTATTGATTGTGATAGCTGACCCAGATAACAATCATCACACAAGCTTATATAACTACTGCAGTCTGGCAACTGACATGTCCTATCAGATTTCAAAATGAATTTCACAGCACTGGAATACAAGCATTAGCAAGAGTTCAAAACATGGTTAAACCATAAGGAGAGAACATATAAACCACGTCCCTTGATCAAATCCCCACCCCAAACAGAAACAAAGGTTTAAACACTAAAATTAAAAAGATGAAAGATGTTTATTTGTTTTATAATGAACGTTCCAAAGGCACATTACAAAATGCACGATTATTCAGAATTTATTTTAAACATCTTAGTTCCATTGTTCTCTGTCTCGAATCTTCCATCAGTCAGTACAGAGAAGGATGGTTCAAAGACATTTTTTACACCAGTAAGACAGGCTTAGGATTCCAGCTATTATGCAATAATATTGATAGCTGGCTATGGTAAAAGGAGAAGTGAAAGCCGTCTCCCCTAGTGAGTTCCTGTAGGATTCTGTGGGTGAGCTCCATGACCCCACTTTTGGGAATGGGGGAGGGATGTGCAGCACAACAGAGCCCATGCTATGAAATGCTTGTTAGAGAACAAACGTGTGCTACCACCATGGGTGGTCTGTGACAGGACAGCAAAGAGGCCAGTCACAACTGTGGACAGAGGGACTGAAGAAGAGTCCACAGATTTAAGGAAACCCCTGCGTTCACCCAGACAACTATGAATATACATATATATATATATTTTTTTTTTCCTGCTGAAAATTAGTGTTCTAAATGATAGGCTTAAATAAAAGGAGGAAATTAAGGTATTTTATGCCAAAGGTGAGCACATATTCAAAATAGCTTCTTTGGATAAAACTGTCACTAAGACAGTTGGGATATTTGGTTTGACTTTCAAGAACAGTATTAGTGGCAACGTCCCATTGTAAATTCACACTGCAATTAAGAATGTAGCAACTACCATTGAATTTATTAGTTGTCAAAAAACATCACAATCAGTTTTGTGATCAGAAAATAAAGCAAGATTTCATTATTGTTTTCCTTATAAAATTGTTAAATTTCTGAAAATATAAAGGATCATTTGCTTTCTAAAAATACCAGCTTTGCTCCATGCTGTTCCAGAGATCTGACCCCAAAAGCTTCTCAAGTTTTACCATCAACGGAGTCTTTATTTGTAACTGAGACCCATCTGTTATTTTCCATCTGAAGCTGGAAAGGGGTAAGACAATTAGCTTCTACTTTACTTTCAAAACAAAAATTGCCAAAATTAAATAGTAACTATTTCTTTTGCATTTTTCTTGAAACTAGTTTTTAAGTGTGATTTTCAGAAAAACTCTTACCTTCCTTAGTAGTTTATAGCAAAGTGAGAGAAGTTGGACCAAAATAGCCATCATGGATCTTGTCTTTATAATACACTTATCAATCTATAATGACAGAAAGCAAGCAAATCAAATTCTACAAAGGGTACTTCAGAAGACTGTATCAATTGATTAATTTTGAACTGATAAAATATCTTCACTGTGGAAATCTAAAGGATCCTCAAAGGCATATGGATTAGGGCACATAAGGCAACTTGAGGCCCCAGAACACAAGCGCAGGGACTGCTGCCCAGGTCTCATGCCCACTTCACGGAACCCCATGAAGAATAGATGGAAAAATCAACCTGTTCTATTTCAAGTTGTTTTGGCACTTCTTAAAACACTCCAAATAGTGACAGTGAGCCCCCTACTTTGCAACTTCTGGCACTCTGCTTTGTTAGCATTAGCTAAATTCCCTAAGACAAACAATGGGAGCCCCTGCTTTGAGGAATCTGTGCCCTGGTTAGACATGTGACGACATCAGGATTTAAGGGTAGTTGCCCAGTGTTGCAGAATTATGCTCAAAAGGCTAATTTATTTGGTGAACCTACTGCTCCCCAGGCTGTTATAACTACAGATGATAAATGAGTCTTGCAATCAAGGTATGAAAAATGGAAGTAAACGGCCTGTGACTAATAACACCTCTGAAGAAAAATGGGCTAGAAACAAACCTGATAAGTGTGAAAGTTTCTCAAGTATCTCCCTGAATAACCCACTCCTCCTTTTACCTTTAGAAACACTTGATTTTGCAAAGGTGTCTTAGTTATTGTCTGGAGCTGGTGGCATAAAGGAATTAGCTTGTTTATTTCCAGGAGAAGCATAAGCTTGTCATCATCTTTCAGCTGAAATATAATTGAGGAAGTTATAACAACTCCAACAAAACCCATCTTTTAAATCTTAAATACCCGGGATGCCTGGGTGGCTCAGCAGTTGAGCGTCTGCCTTTGGCTCAGGTCATGATACTAGAGTACCAGGATTGAGTCCCACATCAGGCTCCCTGCATGGAGCCTGCTTCTCCCTCTGCCTGTGTCTCTGCCTCTTTCTGTGTCTCTCATGAATAAATAAATAAAATATTAAAAAAATAAATCTTAAATATGCTTTTACCATAATAATATACCCCCAAAGTGAGTATTCATGACATCACCACCAAGACCAAGCAGGCAGACTTGCATTACCTACCTGCTTTGAGAAAACTTGTACGCTTGAAGCAAGCTTTAAGCCCTCTTCAGCAAAAACCTAGTGGAAAAGAAAAGTATCACTACTTAGATGTATGTATACCTTACAGATAGTTCATAAGAAATATACTCATGACTAATTGTCATACTGAATTTTAAAAGTAAAACCTAAACATTAAAGGTCTGTCATGGAACTCCTTAAGTTTTTCTTCTACCCAAGAAACTTAAGTGTTTAACTGTATTGAGAAGGAGATTGCTCAGGCCGGGTGCAGAATCAGTCCCTGGAGAGGTTCCTCTACACCTGAAAACTTCCAGTTACTCTGGAGGGTCATAGAGACCTATGATATTTAACCATACAAATTATGTCCCGGCTTCTGGAAGGATCTGGAGCTCATAATACCTCAACAGCAAAAGGGTGATGAATTGTAGAACATTAGGACTTCCTACTTCCAGCTAAAATTGGTCACCCATACAGATTCCTTAACCAGCCATTTGAAAGGACCAATTTAAATTGGTTCTTGAGTATTCACCATTTTACAATTTAGTGAGAACAGGATGGTGGCAGAGAACAATGAAAAATAAGGTTGGACAGATAAGACAGGAATACTTAGGATGATTATTTTAAAATGATAACAATTTTTCATAGTAAGAGACAGAAGGGGAGTAAAGGCAAAATTCTTAGCTTTAGATGGCAGCAGTAAGAAAGACGAGAATGGCAAATGTGAGGGTGGTTTGTGAAGAAAAGTAACATGCCTTGGTAATGAATTAGAAGAAGAACATAAAGAAGGAGGCAGTGCTTGCAGGGTTATTAACCTTAACTCTATCCAACAGCCTTAACACCTTGCTATCATTGGGTGAACTGCTCTCAAGGTCAATAATCCGTTGCTCCCTTCTTTATCCTTTAAAAGGGAAACCAATGAGTTATACACCTAGATTCTAACCAAACAGAATGACTCACTTATCCCACATTACCACTTTCTGTTTACATTTCTTCTCTTCTGGCCTGCAAAGCCCTCAGAGGCAAGATCCATGCCTATCTCCTGGAATATCATGGTTTTACAACCACCTTAAAGCTGATGACTTCCCAGTCTCTTGAACAATCCTGACAGCAGTCTTTTATTTACTACTTGAGCAAATCAAACTGCTAGCTTTCCACCCTCTAAATCTGGTGTTCTCCCTCTGTGTTCCCTGCTCAGTAAATGGCACCATCATTTACCCTGGTGGTCAAGCCAAAAACCTTTAAAACCTAAGTCTGATCCTGCCACTGCTCCTCCAAACCCTCAATGGGTTTTCCCTCATACCTGAGAAAAAAGTCAAAGTTCCTCCCATGGCTACAGAGATGTCATACCTTACCACTTTCCTTATGGCTCATTCTATTTCATACACATCTGCCTCCTTACTGTTCTTATGACCCCTCCAGCCTAACCCAACATCCCAGGGCCTTCGCACCTGCTCTGTCTGCCTGAAGTATTCCACCCCCAGGTATCCAGCCCACTCTCTCATTCATTAATGTCTCTACTCCAGTATTACCCCCTTAGAAAGGTCCTTTCTTGTCACCCTTCTATCACCTTCGCTCTTGATCCTTCATGATTTTATCTATAAATGCCTATATATGGGCTTTGCATACTTTACTTTCTACTACCTACTTCCTCCCACTGCAGGAGCACTGGCAGCACTGGCTTTGTTCTGTTCTCTTTTCTCCACAGAGCTCTTACCCCCAGGATCTGACACACAGTACAAGCTCAGTAAATAGTTGACGAGCGTTTCGTGTTCATCAGTAGACAATTCAGTAGACACTGGTTTAATGAATAAGCTCACACAGGAAGAAGGTGACTAGTGGATCTTTTGCAGTGAAATACCCACTGTGATGTGGTATGACTTCAAATGGATACGAGCCAAACTGAACAGAATGAATCCAGAATTTATTCCAACTCTTTTAAGGGAAATTGCTCATTTATAGTCAACTTTATAAAAAAATACAAAAGAAATATTTCCTATAAATCTTCTGACACTGATGATAATCATCCTCCTAAGCTGAATCCCTTTCCTAAAGGGAATGCCAAAGGAAACTACTAAAGGTAATAAACTGATAGAAATTTCACATTTCAAATACAAGAATGCCCTTGGTTCTAGAAAAGCAAACTAACGTGAGAGTTAGGAAAAATAATCTTGTAACCCACTTGCCAATCGAAAGCCTCTAACCAAAGGAGAAGAATTCAAGATGGGCCTATATGGAGTTCCACTAGACACAATGGGGCACAAGGAGTGGGATAAGCATGTCTATCTCTCCTTGAATACCTTAAATCAGCGGGAATATAGAAGGAAAGAAGGAAGCTGTACCAAGTACCGTCTAACTGTCTCAAGCCTATGACAGATGCTTTCTCATGTGTTGTCCTCATTTACTCAATGTCATTCATCCAATCCAATAATGAAGAGACCAAAAAGCCTTTCTAGCATTGAGGAAAGTATCCAGGATATGTGTCTGTTCACAGGATATTTCCACCCACTTGGAAAACCTATAACTTACTGCACATATTGACTGTCAACAAAAGCCACTCTGCTTTATCCTTATAATATTTGAAATTTTACCCAACAAGATAATCAAAAAAAAGCTCCACAAAATGCTACTGCAAGCCCTCTGCTTTCCCACTTTTCTGTAGACATTATGTGTTTACAGGTAAGCATACAAACGTGATATGGTAAATCATTTAGAAAACCTGTTATTACCCACTTTTAGCCCAGAATTAAATTAGTAGCATAAAATGGAAACAAACCATACCTCTAGTTGATGAATTAAATCCTGGGAAGTTTTCAGTGGCCCCTCTCCTCTGAAATAAAATGAATTAGCAAGGAAGTCTAAGAAAAAGTTATTGCCTCAAAATTGGTTTTATAACATAAAAGTTCTAGAACATTTTGTGTATTAGTAGATCCCAAATTTTGAAGAGTAATATTGAATAGTAATATTGTGACTTTGTTCTTAAACAACTTTCATATTTTAAAACTATTACTTCTTAGGGTGCTTCAAAATTTTTTAGTGCATATTATATATGTTAATTTTATAGTGTAAAGAAATTTAAAACCAATAAGTAATATTTAAGTTTTATTTTTCCTTTTTAACCTTTCTCATTTTGCTTCACAAATTAAATACATGAGATCTGACAAGATGTCTTAACCAAAAGGCCTTTGTTACATAATGGAAAAAGGATCAGACCAAAACTCAAAAAATTCTCATTCTGAATTCTAAAACTTTGACAAGTCATGTCATTTAAGTTTCAGTGCTGAGTATACAAAATAGCCATAATAATATTTGTGCTACCACTCTCATCAGAAAGGAAACATCAGATTGAAAACCACCAAGAAAAACCAAGACTTCTACAAACGAAAAGCCAACCACAGCAGAAAGAACAAGAGAAGACACTGAGAAGAGCAGTAACCTAGGCGTGAATCAGAAGAAATCTAGTAACAACCAGTTCTGCCCTTACCATCTGTAACATGTGAACAAATTATTCCTGTTCTCTGATAAAATGCTGTGATGATAAATGAAATTATGAAACAGAAATCACTTAAAGACCTATAAGGCTCTGGTAAGTTTGACATTTTTTAAAGCTATAAGGCACAAAAAAATCTGAAATATATAAATGATCAAGAAATAGGAATGCCTGACTAGCTCAGTTGGTAGAGCAACTCTTGATCTTGGGATTGTAAGTTTGAGCCCCTTATTGTGGTCTAGAGAGTATTTTTTTTTTAAGATTTTATTTATTTATTCATGACAGACACACACAGAGAGAGAGAGAGAGAGAGAGAGTAGCAGAGACACAGGCAGAGGGAGAAGTAGGCTCCATGCAGGAAGCCTGATGTGGGGGACTCGATCCCGAATCTCCAGGATCACACCCCGGGCGGAAGGCGGTGCTAAACCACTGAGACATCAGGGCTGCCCATCTAGAGAGTACTTAAAAATAAAATCTTTAAAATGATTAGAAATATGAATTATCATGTATAAATTACTAAGAAATTATATAAATTGTTAAGACAGCCTTACAGCCTGAGGAAAAGCTATAAAATTGCACAGGAAAACTAGAAAATTGGACACTGTGAAGGCTAACAGATGGGTCTCAGAAACAAGGGGTGCCTGGGTGGCTCAGTCAGTTAAACCTCCAACTCTTGGTTTTTGGCTCAGGTCATGGAGTCGTGGGATTAAATGAAGCCCCATGTCAGGCTCTGCACTGAGCAGGGTATCTGCCTGAGATCCTCTCCCTCTGCCCCTCCCCCGACTCACGCACATTCTCTCTCAAATAAACCCTTAAAAAATATTTTAAAAAAAGAAACGAGCAACTAGATGAGACTGGTAAACCACGGATATTAAGGGAAAACAGGAATAAATGCTGGAGAAAAACAGTGTTGGTAGAAAACAAAGCCCCCTTGAGATTTTACCACAGACATACCAGCAAGATGCGTCAAAATGGCACCAGGTGTTCCCCATGGCAGAAAATCTATTCTTTCCCTGAACTTAGCATTCCTGTGTAAGAACTCCATCTAGTAACAAGTTCCATTCCACAGAGCTTTAGTTATTTCCACCCCCTCATAATGCAGCCTCTCCTGCTTCCTAGTCTCATTCCCTTACCAGAATCCACTATCCTGACCCTGAAACAAAAAATGCTGACCATATCATCCTGGAATATTCTGAAATAAGAAACAACAAATAAAAGAGGAAGTTAAAAAATTTAAAAATTCTGATGAGTACTCTGTTAAGGAAGATTTTATATATCAAACTACATTTACTTAGTGATAATGATATTCCTCCAGTTTTCATCAGTCCAAATAAAATTTGTTTAAAGATCTGCTGATTTTTATCATCATAAGATAACTATCATGACTACAGCCAAATGTCAAGATCTTTCAGCTAATCTATGCACATTTGGTGTGGGCCAACAAAGGAGTTCCATTTTACTTTCTTTTTTTTTTTAATTTTTTTATTTATTTATGATAGTCACAGAGAGAGAGAGAGAGAGAGAGAGAGAGGCAGAGACATAGGCAGAGGGAGAAGCAGGCTCCATGCACCGGGAGCCCGATGTGGGACTCGATCCCGGGTCCCCAGGATCGTGCCCTGGGCCAAAGGCAGGCGCCAAACCGCTGTGCCACCCAGGGATCCCTCCATTTTACTTTCTTCTGCAAATTTGACTTACCAGATTTTAAAGACAGGAACTAAGAAAAAAAAAAAAAGGTCAAAATTGTGTTAGGACGACTCAATCCCAGGAGAAGCTTGTGAAAAACAATTAAGAACAGAGGAAGGAAACCACTGGAAAGGAAAGGTCACCCAAGCTGGAAAGTTTGGCAAAAGTATTAACAAATGACTGCTATACAGAGGCCAAATCACTCAGCCCCGATCACTTCTCCTGCACCATCCAGAAGAATTCTGTCTTGAAAAGGCAGAGGACTTCATCAAGAGGGAAATGAATGTTTTTTCCTCACTTCTGATCTTTCTTCTGTATGAAGGAATCTTCACTAGCATCACATCCCTCACTCCTCTTGGCTCTCCCACTTATTTCATCCCATAGAAGAGTGTGGACGTTTATTTAGCTTTTCCATCTTTTTGGGGACTTTGTGAAAATGGATATGGTAGGCCTTTCCTTTCTCCTTTTCCTCTTAGAAGTAAAGCTGCTTTTGGGAGACACCTGCTGTTCTAGGTATTTTAAGAGACATATTCTGTCCTTATAGAGTAAGATTTCTTAATCTAAAGATCATTTTTAAAAACGTACTTACTAGTGGATATAAACTACATTATCCAATAATGGCTTTTTCAATATAAAGGTTACAGCCCCTATCTGCCTATTCTTTTGCTTTTTTTCATTTTGTTCAGAACTCGGGTAGGAAAAGCGTGCTATTTATTGAACCCCAACGCCCCCCACAGTTGTGGAGATCCTAACTACTTTAGTTGAGCTTAAGACTCCAGATGAAAGGTGCCTGGGTGGCTTAGTCGGTTGGGTGACTGACTCTTGGTTTCGGCTCAGGTCATGAGATCAGCTTTCAGAGGACAGTCCGTTGGAGAGTCTCTCCCTCTCACTCCCTTCGCCCCTTCCCCTACTCACATGTGCATGCTCTCTCTCTCTAAAGGTAAAGAAATATCTTTTTTAAAAAATGGAAAAAAAAGATATCAGATGAAATAGATTATATTCCAGAATACTGAAGCTACCTGTAGGTGTGAACCACTGCTGATAATATTTTCAAAATCAAAACAAGTAGGAGAGGAGCCATAGCATTAGAGATATCAAGTATTTTCCAGGTTTCCAAAATTTAAAAAATTAATTTCAGAAAATTAGTGAAAAGTTTAAAGTCATTCCCTGAGAAAATTCTAGAACAGATTATTGAGCAGAGAACTGATAAATGTTTAGCAACATGGAATTACTATACCATATGTATAGATTATTTTAACAGAAGATTGTGGAATGTGATCAACATGTACTTCTATGAGGCATCTCAAGAGTCTTGTAATGTGAACAAGACAGAGAATGTAGGTTGTGTAACAGCAAAGTTAGGAAAATTCTCTGCTATATAATGAATACTGATTCTTGGGGATTTGGCATTCTACTGAGTTGGTAGTCCTTATGGTCCTATTCTTTGATCTCTATTATCTAATCAGTTATCAATCACTTGTATAAAGAGTTAAAAGGCATGTCTTCTAAACTTCCTGATGCTGGCTAGGAGAGACAAAGATATACAGAATGACAAAAATCCAATGCCAAAATTATTTCAAAAATTTGAAAAGATCAGGACACAAACCTAGAGAAGTTATCTTCTAAATCTAAATCCTAATTAAATAAAGGTCTTCTTGTTGCATTCACTTAATTATCATAAGAACTTACATTCTTTTTTACCATATATTTGAAATAATCTTTAACCTATCCATGATTTAATACAAGTTTTTCCTTACAGCAAATATTATTAAATTGATTTTTAAAAAATCAAATATAACTATATTTACCTAGTAAATAAATACAGAGAATAGGCCATACTGGACATGTTCCGCCCATTTCGAACAATCTCATTTTCCTGATCCTCCCATTTCTTGATCTCACAGTTGGCATCAGAGGTAAGCAAACCCAGCTTAAGTCCAAGCTTTGCTATCTTGGCTTGCTCCTATAAAATATATATTTTAATCATGACAATATTATCATTATTGATGTAAAAGGAAGATTAGATGTAAAACTGTTAAAAGAAAAAGATCTTACCTCAGAGTCAAGCTTGTCTGGTTTTAAGGATTTCAGGTTTGCATTATTCTTCTATGACAATAAAAAGATTAAGACATTTTAAAAAGCCATACAATTAATTGTGAGGAAATACAATAGTAATAGAAAACATAACAAATTACCTATAATAAAATTTTAATTTAAACATTTTTCAGAATATACTTAAACTATATTAAATTAAGTTAAAACAAACAACTAATTGCAAATACTCTTCTAGCATGTGAGTTCAGCTTTGAACAGGTAGGTAGTTAGAAACCGGGGACCAGGGAAAGCAGATCATGTCCCAGAAGGACTTAAAAGACTTCTGTAGTCTTCAAGGGTCCAGCTATACCTTCAATCATTCCTGGCCCATCTGTTGAGTTACTTTTATGACACGATGTCATAAAATTAGCCACTATATGTAGTTTTCCATATATCCCTAATGTTATGACTCTGGAGCTCAGTTCCTTTAACCAATTTGCCCTTTGGGGGCTAAATTTCAGCACCCTAGTGTCACTGACATCCCAGTTTCTAATCCTCTACTTTAGGCTGTATAGGAAATTATACTTAGAACGTAGAACTTCGTATTTGAATCAACATATTTAATGGGCCCCTATTTTTGAAACAGCAAGTTTGTTTCTGTGTAAGCTATATGGAACTCAGAATATAGTTCCCCTAAGAAAGGCGAAAACTTTGTAGGTAGGTTACCAGGCTAGCCCACAGATGCCTATTTATATGAAGAATAGAGGGGTACCTGGGTGGCTCAGTTGGTTAAGCGTCTGCCTTTGGCTCAAGTCATGATCTCAGGGTCCTGAGATCGACCCCATGTTGGGCTCCCTACTCAATGGGGAGGCTGCTTCTCCCCTTCCCTCTGCTCCTCTCCCTCCCCGCTTCACCCTCATGCTCTTTCTCTCTCTCAAAAAAAAAAAAATTTTTTTTAAGATTTTATTTATTCATTCATGAGAGACACAGAAAGAGAGGCAGAGATACAGGCAAAGAGAAAAGCAGGCTCCCCACAGGGAACCTGATACAGGACTTGATCCCAGGACCCCGGGATCACAACCTGAGCCAAAGGCAGATGCTCAACCACTGAGCCACACAGATGCCCCTAAATAAGTAAAATCTGAAAGAAAGAAAGAAAGAAACAAAGAAACAAAGAAAGAAACAAAGAAAGAAAAGAAAAGAAAAGAAAAAAGAAAAGAAAAGAAAAGAGAAAAGAAAAGAAAAGAAAAGAACTACCAATAGCAACATTTCTTTGAAAAATATATGCAGAAGCTCTCAGGAGATGGCAGCCCAGGTTGGCCATTCCACTCACTCTGAGGTCTGGTGGGAGCTCCCCTAGTTTGGGCAGGAGTTCCAGAATGGCTGGGCCTAGTGTACATTAAGGGCAGGAGAGGCTGGTAGCCTTTTTTTTTTTTTTAACATTTACTTAAACTATAAACAGACTCACATACACACATTGAGTAGATGTACACAAAGTATAAATTATAACATAATAAAACAAAATACCCTAGCCTCCTTAGCTTAAGAAACAGGTCATCATCAATACCTTTGAGGTATATGTGTACCTTCTTGTTTTTTGTTTCCCTTGTTATTACCATGACTTGATACATCTGACCAGCTATTCTATTACCAGTTTCACTGCAAAACAGAAGAGCCTCAACTCTTCCTTTTTTTTTTTCTGTCTCATGGTTTATATTTGCTCATTTACTATAGCCCTTTTGAGATTTTCTAATGTTGCTTACTATAGAGGAAACAAGACAGAAAAATGAATGTGGGAAAACTAGAAAGCTGCACACGTGTACAAATACAAGCTGCCCCTGCATTCACTGGAAAACAGAGAATGATCAGTAATCTCTGACTGGCCCCTCCTTGTATAAATAGTTGTACCACCTGTACCTTCCTCCTTAGTCTGCTAGACTATAAAACAACTGATAAAGCATATAAGAAATAGCCTTGAGGTTCTGAGGTTTTATTTTATTTAGGATTTTACACCTGTTTTATTCTTTTAAGTTTAGTTGTGTTTTTGTTATTTTTATTTTTACTTTTACAAATTATTATTATTAAAGTGCTTAATGAAGACTGAAAGGGAACTGGCCTGAAAAGGTAGAGAAACCATCTTCATACATGTCACCAAGCTGGCCACCTAGTGGACACTATTTTGGAATACAGTCAGATGCATCAGTGTCAGTTTCAAATTTATAATTTGAATTCTGAATAAAACATTCCAAATGTACAAAACTCTTCTACTTACCATTGGCTTTGGAAGTGACAGGTAGCCATACTTCTCTCCTACAAATAACACATATAACTTTAAAATTTTTCTATTAGTGTTTTTCTTATTATTCACATTTAATTTTTTAAATATTATTAAAAAGGAATGTTAGTACCTTAGTTTCGATAATTTAGTCTACTGATTACCTGTGTTTCAGAAACAAAATTGTAATTTGGTGAACGTGAAGGTTGTCAACAGTTTATCTCTAAGGTACCTGGTTGGACAATCTCTACCTCCCCCAACATAATGGCAGAAAGGCAAAATATCTCAGTGATATTTACCTATATTTACGACAAACTTCATTCTTAGTGAAATCTTTTATAGCGGCCTGTCTCTAATAAAACCAGGTTCTTCTTTTATCAGTACCAGTTATCAGTGCTTGCTTCCTTTTCTGTGGGTATCAAACCAAATCATCCACAGCTAACTTCTTAAAGTATTCGTCCAGGCAAAGAAGAGAGCAACTCTAGTGTACAACAGAGGAGGATGAAGCAAACCAAGTAACAGTCCGTGGGCTGTGAATTAACACAGGAAGCACAGTAACTAAGGAAAGGAAGGAGGCGTGGGACGCCCACTTCATCCCTGTGCTTTCATGTTTCAAACTTCTGGATCATGGATAGAGTCAGGTTACAGCGGATGGGAGATTGTTTTTAAAGCCTAGTTTGTTATATCTGGGAAAAGAATTCATAGTAAGATTGAACAGTAATTGCTTCTCGATTTCAAGGAATGGAAGTTGGTTCAACTGTAATACATTAGGTGGAACCATATGAAATTGCTGATATTTGACCACTTTAAAATACAAGAACATCAATTTCATACAGTTTCACCAAATAAAAGTAAATACAGTGTAAGAGCACCAAGTCATACACTTTCTTATAGAATGACTGTTACATAAGCAAGGTGTGCCTGTTCATAACATATTTAAATTTTCATCTAGACCTGTGCAGTTGGGGACACCTGGGTAGCTCAGCTGTTGAGTGTCAGCCTTTGGCTCATGGCATGATCCCGGGGTCCAGGATCCCACATCGGGTTCCCCGTGGGAAACCTGCTTCCCCCTCTCCCTATATCTCTGCCTCTCTCTGTGTAAATAAATAAATAAATAATAAATAAATAAATAAATAAATAAATCTCTGCCTCTCTCTGAGTAAATAAATAAAATCTTAAAAAAAAAAAGAACTGTACCATTGAATATGGAATCCAGTAGCCATGTGTGACTACTGAGCAACTGAAGCATGACCCGTCTGAATTGAGGTATGCTGTAAGTATAAAATACATACCAGATTTTGAAGACTTAATGTAAAGGAGAAAAAAATGTAAAAGACTTCATTAATAATTTTTAAGTATCGATTCTAAGCTGAAACAATATTTTACATATATTAGTTTAAGTAAAAAACATTAAAATTAATTTTGCTTGTTTGTTTTTAAATTTTTCTCCAGAAAACTTTTTTTTTTTTCAGAAAACTTTAAAGTACATATGTGGCTCACGTTATATTTCTGTTGAACAGTGCTGATCGAGAAAATGAACCATTGGTACTTGGGAATAGTTTTATGGTTCAAATCATTTCCTTATAAGGTCAGAATTGTAAGGGAATTTAATTAATGATTTTCCATATTCAGAATTGTGAGAGAAAAATAAACCTAAAGAAGCCATCATTTCCATGCCTTGTCTCCTAGACCTGATATAAAAAGTGCCTGATTTAGCTGTGAAAAATTAACAGAAGACTTTAAGTCATTAGAACCTCCAAGTTCCCCATATATCTTAATACAAAGTCCAAATCCTTCCCATAATATCCCTAAAAAGTGGTCTTAATAAGCTGCAGAAACAATCATAATCATCACCTAAGCATAATTAGCTTAGGCGTGAGCAATTTTGTATTATCCACCCTTGTGATCCTGCATAGTACCTATGACACTGAAATGTTCATATTTACTCTCCAAGAGAAAAAAAAAGGCTACTTATCTTAGTATTTCTTATTTCTCAGAGAAACAAAAGAGTTAAAGAAACCAAAAAGCTAGGAGAAATAAATACAATGAAAAAAGGAGCCTTTATATAATCTGGTTTGCTAGCATTACGATCACCAGTTAATCACCTGGCACTTCCAGTCCCTGAGACTGTCTTACAGATACTTTGTTTTGCTCCTTATTCCCACCTTTCAGGTGGATTCAGAATGATTTGCATACTTGATGATAATTGCAAAATTAATCATTCAAGATAGTTTCCCCCCCAGATGCTATACAGGTAAGGTTGTCTCTCTTTCCTCCAATTCCAATATAAGCCAAGTTTAGTTGATAATCATACCAAAAAAAACAAACAAGTAAGTTGATAAAGATATCAAAAATCATTAATCTGAATCATTTTATAATTAATTTCATAGTTGTTTTTTCCATACAAGCCTAATTATTGCTATTGATTCTAAGTAGTAGAGCAAACATACTGACTCAGTTCTATTTAGCTATCATATCAAATTAAAGAAGTAGCATTAACAATTTCTATCTCTGGTGGAAATATGTTATAAACATTAGAAGTAACTGGAAAAACAGTAGTATTTATGGGGAAAATAGAGTCGATATTTGAATTATAAAACTGTTTTCAAAGCACTATTTTCACAGGGGTATCATAAGTTTAGCACTCCCTAAATCCTTTGTTTAATAGTCCCTAAACCAACACCACAACTGTATCATCTTTACTTCTCACCTTATATGTCCAGATAAACTAAGTTCAGAGTTAAGCTCAAGAGCCCCTCTCATGAGATGGGAGTACCAAAATGATCTCTGATGAAAATCTAAATGAGAAATGCTGCTCTCATTCTCAATATCCAGAACTCGTCTGCATTTCTACAAACTAATGCTAATTTCCCAAGGTCAGAAAAGCCTATTTCACTAAAGATGTGTTATATAATTCCCTATTAGAAGTTCCCACATTAGTTTCTTTGATTCTGGAAGGAGCTCTAATAGCATGATCAGAATGATCATGTCCCCAGACCTGCTAAAAATGAATCACTAACTACTGAAGGATAGGCGATCATGAGCTAACCACAGGAGTAAGATTGGGGTATTCTAATCCAAACTCAGTTGTAACCCTTAAACTCTCCCTTACCTCTACATTCAAGTAATCACCGATATGACTTACAGAATTCTTCTTTTTTTTTAAATTTTTTTAAAATTTTTATTTATTTATGATAGTCACAGAGAGAGAAAGAGAGAGAGGCAGAGACATAGGCAAAGGGAGAAGCAGGCTCCATGCACCGGGAGCCCGATGTGGGATTCGATCCAGGGTCTCCAGGATCGCACCCTGGGCCAAAGGCAGGCGCCAAACCACTGCGCCACCCAGGGATCCCCTACAGAATTCTTCTTAAATCAGCACTCTCATCTCCATTTCTACTATCAGCATCTCATCATCTCTTGTCTGGATGGGTCACTCCCTGTTTCAAACTCCAGGTCCCCCAAATAAGCTCATATTTATCAACAAGCATGTTTCCCCTCCTATGCTTCCAATTTCAGTGAACAGAACCTTAGCATCCAATCTGCCAAGTGGTAAGATAAGCTCAGGGCTATGGAACAGGACTTTTAGGTGCATCCTATACACAGAAGCCTAGTCATATTTAATTCTAAGATGGTTCAAAGTGAACAAGAGAAATTCAGGCTCTTTAAAGGACAGAGAGTCTGCAAGCTGTGAAAGACAGCTTCTTTTAACATTTAGTTATCTAAAATAATCTCAAATTCTAAATGCTATGATTACATATTCATCACGAAGGGAAAGTGGAGTCTTTCTGATCTAGTCCTTTCTAATATGAAGACCACAGCTTCTCAGGAGGGTTGAGTAACTAGGCAGAAATGAATGAAGAGAGTAAGGCAGGAAGACAAGTATTGATTTTTGACTTCTTAAAACAAGGCCAGAAGGCCCTACTGTGAAATTTGGGTGTCTCAGGGTAAGAGGGATAATGACCTAGCTCTGAGTCCCTTTCTCATTCTTACCATGTTATTTGCTTTAATTGGTTCGTTAAAGGATCCTTGCAAACATATCTGATAATCTTTCTAGTAATGAGAGTCAAGATATTCAGGGCAGAACAAAGGTAGCTAGAATACAGCAAAGGCTTTTCAATAATAGCTGTAACATGAGTTATAACAGTAGCAGAAAGAAATCAGGATCTGAAGAATACACTCAGCCCTTTGTATGGAAAGTAGTGGACAGGTGCGAGGTAACTGGCAAGCTTGTCATATTAACCACACAGAACAGGAAAAACAGCACTGTGACACTGGACTCAGCCCAGGCAATAATAGCAAACCCAGAGTTGGGCTTCTTTGTCAGAAAAGCTATTCTTATGAGCTTAATGATAAATGTCAGGACAAAAAAAGGCAGTACAAGAAATCAACCAACTCTGTCTCAGTTATTCCACGGAAGGATCCTTCTGAACAGCAAGATGTTTTACCAGTTAAACGATGGATGTACCATTGATCAGGGCAGCAGTTTCCCACCTAAAGAGGAATTTCTTTCAGTCCTAAGGAAATTAAGATAACCCTGATTTTTTGAGGTTAGGTTACCCAAACCTAAAGAAGAGACCATTCACATAATATCCAGCTTGAAAGCTTGAAAGGAAAAGAAACCACACAGACCATATAGTCCAAATATAAGTTTAGGATTTTCCTGTTTCAGCTCTGGTCTATCTGTAGTGGGTACTAGTGCTAAGACGAGAAAGTCGCTTTCTTCATTTCCTTAAGTCCTACAGCTAAATGACCATTCTTCTTCAAATGTAGATCAACAGCATCACTTTACCTTTTAATATATGAAACTTGCCTCACATAAAAATCCATGTGCTTATAAATATTTTATAAAAGCATCAAATTGAGCCATTTAGACTAGCTCTCACAGAAATCTTTAAATGTAAAAGCATGGTAAACATTTATTATACTTCACAAATTATACTATTACAAAGTCTATCATTTCCTGATTTTTAAAAGCAAATCAGCAATCATCCTAAATAGGTATTTTTAAAAATATGAAATGTTTAGATGTTCAAGTCAACAAAAAATAATTATGTAATATGATGTTATTATGACTTGAAGGACATCTTATTTAAAAAAAAAAAACAAGCATGCTTGACACTAAGAGAAGCCATTCAAAAGGGAAACAAATACATGAAAACACATAAACATAAATAAGAGGACATATGATACAATGGAAAATAAACAAAACTCCCAATTGTTATTAAAATAATAAAAACAATGCCTTCCTATACATTGTGCAGTGCTATTCTACATGTTGTAGAAGTACCAATGAACTTACCCACCACAGGAAATATTCCAAGATTATGTAGTCATCAAAGAAAGAGATTCAATCCAAGTGGAAGGAAAGCAATTCAAAAATCAAATAACTACATTCATTTCATTATGAAGTTAGCAGAATTAACTCAGAGAATAATTGTATTACAGAAGAGCTTTTGTACTAAAACTGAAAAGCAATTTAGATAAAATATAAAATGACTGAATTTCAATAGGAAAACTAGAATATTAATATTAATTCAAAGAAATCTACTATACTATTGTACAAGAAATTATACTGCTTACATACTACGATAAAGGACACACAACATTTCCACAATCTTTCACATATCTTCTGTGAAGATATGTTACTATAAAAATATCCTATTGGGTTATAACAAGATAATTCATTTTACAACTGAAGTTTGACATTAAAAAACTAATGGAGTTAATTAAAATAATAATATATTTAAATATGAGGACAGTTTCTCACCTCGTCTTCCTTCAAACACATCATTGATTTCTCTTAGCAGTGTTGACATGTCACCAATTTGGGATTCCCAAGCTTCACAAAATACATCTAGATTTTCTTTAGCAATTTTACTAGATGGATGCAATGTCAGTGTTTCAGCAGCAGAAATTATCTAATGAGATACAACATATACAGGTGTCCATTTCAAAATCTCAGCTATCAGAATCATATTGGAGACCAAACTTAAGTCTGTCCTGTTCAACTTGACAAACAACAATGAACTGCTTCCCACACATAAGGCCCAAGTTGGCCAATGTGGAGATACATGGAACAAAACCCACTGTTTCTTCTCATCTGATCTACAACTAAATAGCATGCATTATTATATACAAACCTTTATCCAGGGAGCAATGGTCTTTAGTCCAGAAACACTGTTTCAACAAAGTTGTTTCCATGCATAATTCAAAGAGTTAGACTACAAAGAGTGTATTGTACACTGTAACACAAGAGATGGTGTAGTTGTTGTGGTAGCAGCAGTAGTCAGAGTATAGTGGTAGTGGTGGCAGTGATATTAGTAGTAATAGTGGTAGGTAGGTAGTTGTATCGGTAGTGGTAGTAGTAGTAACATATACACACACCTTGCAGTACATGGCATATACATTTTTGAGATACTGTCTTAGGTGCTTGATATATATTAGTATTAACCTTCCAAAACACACCCTTCAGTAAATAAAATACATTATTCCCATTATACAGCTAGAGAAACTGAGGCTCCGAGATACCAAGTAACTAATACATGGCTATTGATTCACCTACTCTGTGCCAAGCACTGTACCTATGTTCCAGAAGCCGGGGAAATAGCGAGCAGTGAAAGAGATAAATATGCCTGTTTCCATGGGGCTCACAGTATAATGGAGGGTGACAGACAAATAAAAAACATACAAGTAAATGATAAGATATTTTAAATCATGATAAATTATATGTATAAAAAAAGGGTAAGGAGGATAGACAGTGTTAGATGGTCACTGAAAAGGTGGCATATAAAAAGCAAAGCAATGAAATGAAGAAGGCAAGGAAGGGGAGCCACTACGAAATCGAGGGTCCATCGTTTGGGATGAGATGGGAACATTTCTAGTGTGATCAAGGAACAGCCAGTAGGCCAGTGTGCCTGGATGGACCTGAAAAATAGGAGGGTCGCCAAGAGCCATGTGATGAGGAACATACACAGGAAGAAAGGAAGTCACTGGAGAGCTCTCAGGAGACAGATAAGATCCACGCCATGTCTCATCCAAGGGAATTAGAGCTACATTCTCCTCCTGGGTGGGCACAGTCACTCGGACACAGGACTTGACAAGTAGGTGGCAGCTTCACGAGCAAAATGAAGTTCCCAATCTTGAGTTGAGGGAGGGTTGGCACATGGGCTTGTCAGGGAACCAGAGGCTAGACTTCAGTGTGACTCCCCTCTCAACCAGGAGCCATTGTAAGACATATCAGCTGCTCAGCTGTGCCCAGATAGGATCTAACATTTTAAAGGAAATATAAAAATGACATAGCTCAAGCAGAGATGTCGAGGAATAAATACATATTATCCCAGGGGCATGTTCTATTTCTTTAAATGATTCCTTTGTGAAACAGGTGGCAAAGACTAGGAGTAAAAGCTAAGGTTGTTGAAAAAAAAAATGCTTCTCAAGTTATGGAAGTTGACAACGGGCTCTATCACCATCCTGGGGACAAAGTACAGTTATTCCTAATATCCCTGCTACAATAAAAAGAGTAAGCAGACAACTACAGCCAAATAGTTGTATTTGTATAAGTACAAAGTAGGGTTTGAGGATAGAAACAGCAGATTGCATATGGCTGCAGATCAAACCCTTTAATTCTACTGAGATACATTTAAAGCCAACGCAAGCAAGATGAATCTCAAGTGGACCAACAATTATTGAAACCTTGGTTTCTCTTAACAAGCAGAGATCTTCTGGTTATAAAAAAAGTTCAGCAGATGACCATTGCAGAGTCACTCATAAAGTTCCTCCTTCTGTGATAAGCTTTTGACACTGTTTTCTACAAGGGAGCATACATACCTCCAACATTTAACATGCTTCTGCTAGAGGACACAAGCCACCATGGTCTCTTACGTCACTTGCGTTGTTCTCAACTCTAAATCCAAAGGCTCTACATCTACCATCTAATACTGCAATTAGGAGTAAGTCCTTTGGCTGACCATGATAAATGAAACAAGAATACCCAGTAAATTGTATTTTAGAGCTTAGACCTAAAAAAGAAAGGAAGTTCTGTTCTGCACTTTTCTCTTTAGATTAATAGATTAATTTGACAGGGACAGGATTAAATGAGCTATCAATTTTTAAAAGGCTCTGGAAAATTATAAAGACAAAGTAATATTTCAGAAAATTCAGAAAAAATAACTCATAATTCTTCCAAACAACCACAAGAACTTTTGTTTCTACATATCCCTATGTAGTCGTTTTCTTTCTCTCTTTCTTTTCTTTCTTTCTTTCTTCTTTCTTTCTTTCTTTCTTTCTTTCTTTCTTTCTTTCTTTCTTTTCTTTCTTTCTTTCTTCCTTTCCTTTCCTTTCCTTTCTTTCTTTCTTTATTTTTTTTAAGATTTATTTATTTTGGAAAGAGAGAGAGAGAGTATGAACAGGAAGGGCAGAGAGGAGGGAGAGAGAGATTCCCAAGTGAGGGATTCTCAATTCCGTGCTGAGCACAAAGCCTGATGCAAGGGCTTGATTTCATGATCTTAGATCACAACCTGAACCAGAACCAAGAGTCAGACACTTAACCAACTGAGCCATCCAGGCACCCCTCATTTTCTTATATATGTACATTTCACATGTAGCAATTATAGTAAGAATGCAAGTCTGTATCCTGCTTTTATCATCTAACATTTTAACAAAACCTTTTTCAATGCTGCTAATTCTAGTTATCAAATTATTATTTTAAGGTCATAATGTATTATTTCCCTAACTTAAGGTAGTTATTTTGCTTCCAATTGAATCTTGTCATAAGTAATACTGCAACAAACATCACTTTAGTTCTTATTTTTCTAATTTCCTTATGTCCTTAGGAATCCTAGGTCAAAACACGTAAATATTTTTATGGCTTGGTCCATAATGGTAACTTACCTTTTTTTTAAGATTTTATTTTTTAAGTAATCTTTACACCCAATGCAAGGCTCAAACCCACAATCCCAAGACCAAGAGCTGCACGCTCACGCTCCACCCAGCTGAGCCAGCCAGGCACCCTCATAAACTACTTTTCGAAGGTGTCATGGCAACCTTCACTGCAAACAGCTTCATTGAAAATAAATATAAACTCAGACATCAATTAAATGGACCAATCCCCAGTTTTGCAGATGAGCAGCATTAGCATGGAATGTCAGCCATGTTCTGGCATAGTGTCAATGAAAACTCCATTATCTTCATTACTCTCAATAGATTTGGCCTCTAGTTAGGCAGAACCATGTACATCTTCCCTCCACACAATTTGTTACAACACTCAGACATGACACAATATAAAGGGATGATCTATTGATTATACCTGTTGGCCAGTCACTTGAAATGTTTCCTCTGCATGCATGCAAGTTATTTCAAGAGGTTCTGTCCCAGATATGTGACGCAACAATCGACAGATCTATGAGAAAACATTTCTACAGTTCAACTTCTGCATTCTCGTTCTTTGTAGTACAGTTTTCATTTTATAATTAATAAAGAAAATTAGGCCTTACACATAAAACTTATTAAAACTTTATTAAACCTTATTTATTAAAAATCAAGTTGTACATTACTCAGATTAGGTAGAGCATATTGTCTCTTTGTCTCACTCTCATATCTGATTATGGCAAGTGGTCAAAGAATATCAGAACCAGAAGGAATCTTTGGAAGGATCTAGTAAGTGTCCGTACATTGTATGTATGAAGAAACTGAACTCAGAGAAGTGACTTGCCCAAGGTCCCAAAGCTCTACTATGTCAAGCTACACATTCTAACAACAAGCAACACTTCATTTCAGGTCAATTAATTAACACATTTTTCACTGGAGGTAACAGTGGATTAGGCAAGACTGAGGTAAGGAGTAGAGAGTTTCTAGCAGACAAAAAAAACTCTTGAGATTCAGGATAGTGAAAAAACTTTTTTTTTTTTCACTTAAAAAATTTTGCTGCAGGATTCCTATAAGTAGCAAGTTTGTTTACAGTCATAATATTTGGTTTATAAATATAACAACACTGGGGCTGGAGAAATTAAGTGAAGGTGATCAAAAGGTACAAATCTCCAGCTATAAGATAAATTCTAGGATATACTATATATAAAACTAGAGTTAACAGTACTGTTTTGTATATTTGAAAGTTACTAAGAGAGTAGATCTCAGAAGTCCCTATCATAAGGAAGAAGAATTTTCTGTAACTATCTGAGGTGATGGATGTTAACTAAACTTATCGTATGATCATTTCACAATACATACATGTATGAGATCATTATGTCAGACACATTAACCTTACACAATGTTACATGTTAATTATATCTTTAAAAAACTACTTGAAAAAACAAGCATCAAATTTATTTTTTTTAATTTATTTATTTGAGAGAGAGAAAGAGAGATAGAGCAGGAGCAGGGAGGAGAGGGAGAAGCAGACTCCCCACTGAGCAGGAAGCCTGATTCAGGGCTCGATCACAGGACCCCGGGATCATGCAGATGCTTAACCAACAGATGCTTAACCAACTGAGCCACCCAGGTGCCCCTCAAATCTATTTTATTTTTTTTAAGATTTTATTTATTTATTTATTCATGAGAGACATAGAAAGAGAGAGAGAGAGGAGAGAGGCAGAGACACAGGCAGAGGGAGAAGCAGGCCCCATGCAGGGAGCCCAACTTGAGACTCGATCCTGGGTCCCCAGGATCAGGCCCTGGGCTGAAGGCAGCGCTAAACCGCTGAGCCACCAGGGCTGCCCTAAAGGTTGCTTCTAACCATTATCATTAGTTGTTGAGATTTGCTGAGGTGGCACAGCAGGTAATATGGAGACAGCTCTATGGTTCATACCTATGCATTTAAAGACATGTTGGATATACTTCATATGTACAAGGTATACACAGGCTAAGTATATATATTTTTTACTAAAAGATGTCTTGTGTTTTCAATAAGTGAAAGGCTTAGGAGATCAACTAATAATTGAAATTATAGCAAAAGTGTCAGGTAAAGCACCAGTAATACACAACATCAATAATACACATTGGGCAGAACAGAAGAGGTTCAGAGAAGGAATAATGTGCTGAATATCTTCGTTTTGTCCATCCACATCCATTCACCTTCCTTTTCAAACCTGCCTTTTGCCCTGGAAGACCAACATATTTGGTCTACAGTTATGTTTGGCCAATGGGAAGCCCCAGCAATAGACTAGCAGGCATGAAGAGAGTAAGAGCCTTTATTCTCATGCTCTTTCCTTGCACGGTTGCCTTGGGCTGTCTCTGTGTCTAGTCCTGAAATCATAACCTCTCAAGGCAGCTTTCTGAAAGACTCCATCCCCTTCCAGTTTCCAGTAACCTATTAATTTGGGCCTATAAGCAGTACCAGCTCTGCTATCACTAACCCCAATTACTGCACTCCCATGGTTCTCCCCACACCCTGTCTATGCCATTGTAAACAGCAACTTTATTAAAGCCTTTTTAAATTATCCTAATTCAAGTGTGCCATTTCTTTCCTGCTGAGACCCCACAGATTCAAATAGCAACAAGGTCATACAATGTATCTCCCACTGCTCTACTCCAAAACCTAACCTCTTTGAGAGAATAAAGGACAAGAAGATTAATAAGTGCATCTGCAGGTTCTAGCAATTTTTCTTTTGTTTTAGAGGCCAGGTTATTGTAAGAATAGAACAGATAAACATAATGTCTCCAAGATTCCAAAGGAGACCGAGAAAATGCTCATATAAATATGTTAACCAAAAACTGCATTTGTGTTAATATTCCCTGATGATGGTATGGCTACCCCAAAACCACAATTTCTTTAACAAACGAACCTATTACTCACCTCAACAAGCTGCTCTTTCTGTTCAGAGAGTTTACAGGCATATTCAGCCAACCCTTCTAAATTTCCTTCTACTCCAGTAAGTTTTAATGCTTTTAGAACCACATGATCAGCATGGTATTTTAACAGATCTGCTGCCAGCTGAGTTGCTGTGCTGTGAAGCTGCAGATGTGGGGGGTGAAGGGTAATGAAAGAAAGACAACAAACAATAAGGTTTTGTAATCAAGCACCTCACAAGCACTTTAAAAACAAACAAACAAAAAAAGAGCAACCTCAAAGCAGTCCCCACTTGATCCACTGAAAGAAAAGTATAAAGTTCTTTGTGGTAATAGTAGAAGCTGTATAGCACTGGGGTGCTTGTAAGTTCTCCCAGGGCAGCAGTGACATCGACATCTTTGAGTCTCCTGATGTTGGCAGTAATGCTGTCTGCAGAAGATGAACTGCTCAGCTAGTGTGAAATGGTTGGTCCCTTTTTCATCCTGCTATTAACCAGCTCTTGCCCACAGAGCTTCTCTCTTACTTAAAAAATGTCCCCACTACTCTAGAAGTTAGTAAGGAACACAACAGTATTAAGAGGAAGGTATTCAAAGTACTGTGAGGAAAATCAAATGGCAGTTCATGAACATTAATTTTTTTTAAGATTTTTATTTATTTATTCATGAGAGACACAGAGAGAGAGGCAGAGATACAGGCAGAGGGAGAAGCAGTCTCCCCACAGGGAACTCGATGTGGGACTCGATCCCCGGACCTGGGATCATGTCCTGAGCCAAAGGCAGATGCTCAACCACTGAGTCACCCAGGCATCCCCATTAATGTTTCTTAATAGACTTTTAAAAAGGTATCCTGAGATTCAGTTAGGTATTCAACACAATTTTATTGGATAGTGAGATCATGACAGACTGTACTAGAAGTGGGACATACATGACAAATAGGACACACCCCCTTCCCTCAGGGGGTTACAGCCCATCTGTAGCTGCTATCTAGAACTTTACACTCCAACTTTTGGGTCACAGGAGAAATGACAAAGGGAAACCAAAACCCTGAGGCTGTATCTGACTTGTAATGGATTTTTTTTAAGGTTTTATTTATTCATAGAGATGCAGAGACACAGGCAGAGGGAGAAGCAGGCTCCATGCAGAGAGCCTGATGTGGGACTCGATCCAGGGTCTCCAGATCACGCCCTAGGCTGCAGGCGGCGCCAAACCGCTGAGCCACCAGGGCTGCCCTGTAATGGATTTTAAGCATGGCCCACTCTCAGCAGATATCTCTGGGTACTATTAGCTCTGAAATCTTCCCTTCATCCTGCCTTTTGTGTTAAAAAAAGATGATGTGACGGGTTATTCTACAGTTCTTCAGGAAGAGATCATTTTTAATAGCACTGTCCTAAGGAAAATCTGACTTTGAACGAAGCCTACTGAATGAAGTGACTTTTTTTTTTCCTGGAAATAATCCAATGTCAATTCAAATTACAGGACTTTCTACAAAATTAACAATAGAGTAGTCCACATTCATGCAATCAAGTGAGAATAATTACAGTCAGAAACAAAAACATTAAAATGTACGTACTTTCCTTTGGAAAGTAAATGCCACATACAAATTTCAAAAGATTTTATTTAACTATCAGTGCCTTAGAGAATAGCTAATGTCAGCCCTTTATTTAATAGACTATGAAAAACAGGTCCTTAGGCCTGAGTGACTTGCCCAAGGTCATGTAAATCTGAGGAGTAGTTCTAGAAACAACTTATTACCAACCTTAAGGGAGGAAGAGTGAATAAACCCAAAGTTCTGCTCTGTGCAATTAAATTACAGCAGCTTTATAGACACTATCTGCCTTAATCCTCATAAAAATTCTTCTAGGTTGATATTGTTATACCCATTTCAGAGGTAAGGAAAATGAAGCTGGTAGAAAGCCACTCAGTCTATCACCAAAGGATTTTATCCTCTTACTGATTATCAAGTTTTAACAATAATTCAGTTAAAATTGAATAGGCTGGGAAAAAAATGGACAGTCTTTTTTTTAAACTAAAGAAAACCATAACATCCTTCTATGTTTAACAAGATGTTAAAATGAAGGTATCAATAGAGGTCTAATAAGCTGTGAAACAAATCATCATGTATATAATTTATAAAAGAAAACCAAAACCCAATTCCATTCTTTTGAACTCTTGACTCTGTAAAACTATAAAAGAATAAAGGAATTAGAGATAGGGAAGCTCTGTTTGGAGAGCTGATAGGTAGGGGGTGACATGGGATTTGCAGTGAGGGGCTGGAGGGCCCCATGGGAGGGCCTCTGAAGAACACAATCATTCATGATAGAGAAAATCAGTTTTAAACAGAGCCCAAAGCATCCTGTAAGGGCATCAGTTTCAAAGAACTTTCCACCTCCCCACATCCTCTCTTCTGGCCCTGAGCCACACCTGGCACGGATCAGGAACTGAAGCTAGGTAAGGGGAAGCAGGGAGAAGGAAGAAAGGTGTGAAAAGTGACCAGAGATCACACCTTTCCTAAAAGCCCTAGGTGGGGCTGGGGACCGGGGCGAGGGGGCAGGGGGCATGGAGGATAAGTCCTATAATTGATAAATATCAAAGTAGCAATTAATATGGTGGAGAAAACATTCTAATTTTGGAACTGAGATTGTGTTTCATGACCTAAAACAGGGACTGGCAAACTTATTCTGTAAAGGGCCAGATAGTAAATATTTTAGGCTTTTCAAGTCACACTGTTTACTGCAACTACTCAACTCTGCTGTTTTGAAAGAACAGTAGACAATACGTAAGCACGTGGGCAGGACTACGTCTCCAAAACTTTACTTAAAACAGACGGCCTGGCTGTAGTTGGCAAACATCTGACTTAAAGTGACTTCCAATTACCTGAAAGTGATCAAATAAGCCAAGTTTTTCAGGAAGCAGGGAAATCTCAACCAAAAATATTTTTTAAATCAATTCTATCAAGGTTTTAGTTAATATACAGCAAAATGTATCAATGGTACAGTTTGATTGCTTTTTTTTTTAAATATTTATTTACTTATGATAGACATAGAGAGAGAGAGAGAGGCAGAGACACAGGAGGAGGAAGAAGCAGGCTCCATGCCAGGAGCCTGACGTGGGACTCGATCCCGGGACTCCAGGATCGCGCCCTGGGCCAAAGGCAGGCGCCAAACCGCTGAGCCACCCAGGGATCCCCAGTTTGATTGCTTTTGACAAACATTTATATCTATGTAATTACCATCACAATCAAAACTACTATATTTCCATTACCCCCAAAAGTTCTCCCATGCCCCTTTGGGGTAAATATCCCCCACCTTCTGACCCCAGGCAGCCACTGATCTGGTTTCTGTCACTATAAGTTAGTCCTGCCTTTTCTAGAACTTCTTCTAAGTGGAATTATATATACACACACACTCTCAGACACAAACACATAATCTTTGGTGTCTGGCCTCTTTTGCTCAGTTAACATTGTTTTAGTGATTCATCCATATTATTACCTGTATTGATGATATTGTTCCTTTTCATTACTGAATATTTGTTATAGTTATACCAAAATTCATTCAATTCATATACCAAAACTCGATTCCTCTGTGGATGGAAACTCAGATTGTTTCCAGTTTAGAGCTAGGTTTATTTATAAATAAAACTATGAACATCTATGGTCAAGCTTTGAGAAGCATGGCACTAAAAAAAAAATGGTGGCTTCAAAGTGGAAAAGCATTTTCTGGGCACATAGATATACTAATACTTATGCATTTCATACATATCATACAACACAAAAATTAGCAAAGGATTAAAAGAGGCTAAATTTCTAACTATACTTACTTCTTTCTTTAGTTCATTGAGACTGTGACTGAATTTCAATACAGTGAGTTCTAGTTCTTCAGCAATACTTTGTGTTTTCTTGCTTTGCTAAAAATTAAAAAAATACAGTGTTACCTCATCTTCTTTATCTGGTAATTCCAATTTTACTTGAACTATAAATTATAATAAATGTTTAATATCATTCTGTGAATCATAAAAAAATAGATTTTAAAAATTCACCTATTTAGGGTTAGAATGGAAAATAGAATTTTAACTATCTAGTTATAGTTTCCCATTCTAACCATAAAAAGATGAATTTTTAAAATCTCATTTCTTTAATAAATTTATCATGTCTAAAATGAATCTATTTTATCTTCTGCCTAAAATGCTCATCTCTTCACTCTTAATGGAGTTAAAAATTAAAATCCTATTTACCATCAAGTCTCTACATAAATGTCTCTTTCTCAGAAAGGCCTTTTATGAGCACACAATCTAAATTAGGTCCTCTTCTTAGCCATTCTAATCTTTTCTCTAAGTAATCACTCTAATTTGCAATTACATATTTACTCTCTGATTTTTGTTTGTTTGTTTAAAGTCAATCTTCCTCACTAGGCCTTAGTAAGCTCCATGAAGGCTGGGATCACATTTATTTTGCTCACCAATGAATACACAATACCTGGCACTGCAAATGGAAGGTATTAGGTACTCAGTTCTTTGAATGCATAAATGAAAATAAAATGTCAATATCTTCCAGAAGTCGTCTTGACTCCTTTCCCTAAATATAAATTCACCCTCCTTCAAATCCTTGCAACACATGGTCTGTACCTCTTATAAGATATTCGCAAAGCTTTCTGTACTTATCTTACCCCTTCCCACATTTTTCTACATTCCAAAATTCTTGCGGGCAAAGATTTTATCTTATTCATCTTCAGATTTCCGGTGGTTGGCATATAAAAGGCACTCAGTAACAACTGCTGAAAAAAATGAATGAATGAACAATACATCTGGCATGCAGAATCAAAGATCTGAGTGCTTGTGAAATATGGGAAAGATGCTAATTGCAAATTAAGCGTCGACAGACTCAGATTCCCAATACAGAGAGCATCTCCTCACAGAAACTCTTTATGTTGACTGTTGAGTCTAAAATTTAACACTGAAGCAATCTATACTCCAGATTAGATGTTACCTGAATATTTCAAACTAATCACAAAATATTGCTTTTTGCCCTGACAGCACTCTACTCTAGGTTAATTTTCCATTAATATGAGCACCTGCGCTGTTATGCCAAGGAATAGGAATAGGTGAGAAATCTTGATGTATATCTATTCTTCATTCATAAAACAATCTCTTTACAAGAAAGTCAACTGCTGCTTCATTCACTATTCTCAGCCACATTCACCCCTCTTCATCTTTACTGCCAAAGCTTTTGTTCATAGCTTCCAGATTTATTCCATCTATGCTGTATGTTGTAAATCACTTTATAAACTTTTCTTTTTTTCTTTTTTATTTTTTTATTTTTTTTATTTTTTTTATTTATTTATGATAATCACAGAGAGAGAGAGAGAGGGGCAGAGACATAGGCAGAGGGAGAAGCATGCTCCATGCACCGGGAGCCCGACGTGGGATTCGATCCTGGGTCTCCAGGATCGCGCCCTGGGCCAAAGGCAGGCGCCAAACCGCTGCGCCACCCAGGGATCCCTATAAACTTTTCTTTACATACTCTAGTTCTAAGGAATAAACAAACTGTGCTAGAGCTGAGTCCCAAGCCTCTACCTTTCAATTTTGCAACCACTCTCTACAAGTGTCAGGATACACATTTTCTGTGTTGTCCCACTCTGTCCATCTTTTCTTTTTTTTATTTAAAATTTTTTTAAAGTAAACTACACCACATGTGGGGCTTGAACTCATGACTCCAAGATCAAGAGTCACATGCTTAGGCAGCCCGGGTGGCTCAGCAGTTTAGCACCGCCTTCAGCCCAGGTCATGATCCTAGAGACATGATCCTTGTAGGATCGAGTCCTATGTCGGGCTTCCTGCATGGAGCCTGTTTCTCCCTCTGCCTGTGTCTCTGTCTCTCTCTCTCTCTGTCTGTTTCTCTCATGAATAAATAAATAAAATCTTAAAAAAAAAAAAAAGAGTCACATGCTCTCCAAACTGAGCCAGCCAGGTGCCTCCAACTCTGTCCAACTTTACCACTCTTGCATATAAAACCTTCCAGGCTATTTGCACATCAGCCATCTACTTTTGAACAGTTGCTCACAATCTTAGACCAGGAATCGGTGCAAGGGTGAAAAATCTTTTACCTGCTAGCTGGATCTACCCTTGTCTTCACTATGTCTATACTTCAATAAGTTGTCTAAATTGTTGTGTCTGTAGGGGCTTAGTTGGTTAAGTGTTCAACTCTTGATTCCGGCTCAGGTCATGATCTCAGTGTTGTGAGACTGAGCCTGCATTGGGCTCCCTGCTGGGCACAGAGCCTGCTTAAAATTCTCTCCCCCGCCCCCGCCTCTTTCTCTCCTTCTCTAAAAAATAATAATAATAATAATAATAATAATAATAATAAATTGTTGTGTCTGTAAATAAACTATCCCCAGAGTTAAGAACTGTGCATGTGTGAATGGCTCCAGAAGTATCATTCAGATGCCAAGAACCTCTAGGTAGGGGTCAACTCATCTGCTCTTCACTGTGAAGCAGCATTTTGGGGAGGAATTTTCCAGAGGTGAGTTTGGTGGATGAGTGGGGATTATGGGATGAACTGTGATAGTGATGGTGGTACCAAATCTAGGCTGGCCAGGATTAGAAACTGAGAAACAATAGGCCTAGAAATGTCAAGTACTGTGATGGATGGGAAGGACATTTTGGCCAAGAAAGTGGGAGAAAAGGAACGAGACATCCTTCTCCCTTTCCAGACCACATTCACTCCTGGTGATTATGTTAGCTTCCACAATTCTCAGAGCTTTAGGGAAAAGCTATTGTATAAGATTTACTTTGATGAAACAAAGTTCTTACAGTTTGAATCCACACAGAAATTAACTGCTGCAATTCCAGTCTCGTCTGAGTTGACAATTCCAAGATGCGCTCCCTGTGCTCATGGCTGGTGTAGGCAGAGTCAGTAAAGTCCTCTGTGCGCTCCAAGATGACTTCCAAAGTCGCAGAAAGATTCTCTTTTGACTGAAAATAAAGATTCTCCCGAAGAGCTTCAATATTCATCTGAGAACAAGAAGGATATCCGTCTACATGAGTCAATATCCCCACCTAACCAAATGGGCTATAATTTCTAACAGTGCCCAAAGAGATACTAGCAATCTCTGTCCCTGTCTGAGGGCTCGGTGGAAATACAACCTCTAGTGATGACTCTATTCTCCAGGACACATTGCTTAAGAGTCACTAGTGGCCACGTAGAGTTCCACTGCAATAGCTGTTAACACAACATTCCTATGAAATCAGTGAATACTGAGGCAGAAAAAGCATTATCATGCTTTTTCATACTAGCATGGTACTAGCATCATACTAGCAACTGGTAGGAAAAATGAGGCAGCCTGCAGGGGAGGATTTGCATCTGAGAAAATGCTGAGGCAAAGTCCTGGAAGACACTACACACAAATATGAACTTGTGCCAAGCCCAGGGGGACAGGGTGTGGAGGGTGTGCCTATGGGAAGGGCTGGAAAAAGCATGCTCATGCTCTCCCCACTCCCCAAATAAATAAATTAAATCTTTAAAAAATAATAAAATGGAAAGCCTCTAATATTGTCACCTCCCTCTAACTGATTCCTCACCACCCATAAAATTAAGTTCAAATTTCTACGTACAACAGAAAATCCTCTAGAGTCTGGATTTTATAGATCTTGGTGACAGTCTGTGTCACCACCTCCCAAGGTCCCAAACAACCTGTCATTTCAGTCATCCAATGTGTGATGGACACATGTTGAGTAGCGCATCTCTCTCTCAGATGTCTACATAACACTACACCACTTCAGCTGGATTTAACCTCCAGCCCATGCACGGTGCCATAGAAACGACTTGGGCCAAGAGGCAATCTGTGGTGATGACCATGACTGTGGTCACACTGAATGTGTTGATATGAATAGCTTACGTTTGATTAGCATGTTAAAGACCTTTCACAGGGGCGCCTGGGTGACTCAGTGGTTGAACATCTGCCTTTGGCTCAGGTAGTGATCCCGGGGTCCTGGGATCAAGTCCTACATCGGGCTCCCTGCAGGGAGCCTGCTTCTCCCTCTGCCTAGGTCTCTGCCTCTGTCTCTCCGTCTCTCATGAATAAATAAATAAAATCTTTAAAAGAATAAAAATAAAAATAAATAAAATCCTTTCACAAATACAGTCTCCAGTTAATCCTTACATCTGACCCATTTTCATAGGACCCATGAAAATACCAAGATGTGGGAAGATCAAGAGGCCATAATGGGGGTTTGCTTCCCCTTCTCCTCTCAGCCCAAGGGGCCACCAATAACCACCCCATCCTAGGTAGGTGGGATTTTTTCTTAAGCTAGGATAGAACATGGATAAAGGTGAGGTATGGGATGGAAAATGAGCATCTTTTGGAATTTAAACAGAATTATGATATAAAAAATCAATCATGTTGACCACACACCACTTATGTTAAGGTTTTTGGTTTTTTTTAAAGATTTTATTTATTTATTCATGAGAGACACAGAGAGAGAGAGAGAGAGGCAGAGACACAGGCAGAGGGAGAAGCAGGCTCCATGCAGGGAGCCCGACGTGGGACTCGATCCCAGGTCTCCAGGATCAGGCCCTGGGTCGAAGGCAGCGCTAAACCGCTGAGCCACCGGGGCTGCCCTATGTTAAAGTTTTTGATTCTTCCCTTTGAAAGAACATACACATGCTTTTAAACAGCAACTGAGCTTTTTCAAAAGCTATTCATTTATATCACTTCATATGATTTGTCCACATATTCACAGCGCCAAACACAGTAAAGCATCCAGCTTCCGTCTACAGATTATACTCTCCAGCAGTAAAAAATGTAAGATGCCAAAAAGATACCCACTGATGGTGAGACACAGTCTATTCATAACAGCCTCAGCCTCCAGAATGCCTGATGCCTGATGGTGATGGGTTAGCAGCCAGAGCAGCTGGCAGCAGCCACAGGCACAAGCCTGCCCTAGGTTAACCTGAACTCAGGTGCAGCATCAAGAAGCAAAGGACTTGGCCCCAGCCCTATTTGTTTCCCGAATTATCTTTTAACCTTTGAAAAGACATCTCCCCCTCAGCCTTTATAAAGAGAAGGGATTAGAAAACTAATCTCTAAGATCCCTTCAGCAATGAAAACTCTAAGACAACGACTGGTCTTCGGCACTTCTTCCCCCTCCAAAAGAGATTTAGGGCAGGACTGGGAATGGGAGCATACTAGCAAACCCACAGGCATATACTGAAAGCTAATGGACTTTGGGATTAGCGAGTCCTGGTTCTAAAGAAGGGCTCTACCACTTAACAGTTTTCCTCCTCAAAAACACAATGATAATAGTACCCACCTAAAAGGGAAGTTAGTGATTAAATTAGATAATATTCATGAAGACAACAGCCCCTAAAAATAACTGTTCTTTCCATGACTTTCTTTCACCTCATGTTCCTACCTAAGTAGGAATTAAAAAGGTGGAAAGAATGTCCTCCTTGTTGTAGCCCTTAGCCTATCAGATAATTTCCAAGGGCCTTAGTCTTCCTAATTGTTAAAGGAGGAGTTCTACTAGATGATTTCCGAGGGCCCTCCTCAATCAGACCCTGCTCTTACCCAGGGAGCAACTTCATCATCTCTCTGACTTCCCAGAAGTTCTGCCCTAAAATAGTAGGGATTCTGAGTCAGACTGCCTCTGCTTGGTTTCTTTTTTTTTTTTTTTTAAGATTTTAATTATTTATTCATGAGAGACAGAGAGAGAGAGGCAGAGACACAGGCAGAGGGAGAAGCAGGCTCCACGAGGGAAGCCCAACGTGGGACTCGATCCCGGGTCTCCAGGATCATGCCCTGGGCTGAACGCAGGCGCCAAGCCGCTGAGCCACCCAGGCATCCCTCTGTCTGATTTCAAATCCTAATTCTGGCACTTCCTACCTGGCAAATTCCTTGATCTCTGTTTCTCAGTCTCCTCAGCAGTATAGTAACAATAGCGTTTATAGGATTATACATATGCATACATTTAAAGCATTCAGAACAGGGTTGCACAAAGTAAATGCTCAATAATACATGTTAGCATGTATTACTGTTCATTTTAGATTTTATTTATTTATTTATTTGTATTTATTTATTTATGATAGTCACACAGAGAGAGAGAGAGAGGCAGGCTCCATGCACCGGGAGCCCAACGTGGGATTCGATCCGGGGTCTCCAGGATCGCGCCCTGGGCCAAAGGCAGGCGCCAAACTGCTGTGCCACCCAGGGATCCCTCATTTTAGATTTTAATTAACACTAATACTACTACTATGGTCTCAAAGTATCAACCCTAGAACTCAGGAAAGAGTAGGGATTTCAGCAGAAATGATCTGCTGTCTGCTATCAGCCACAGATAGCACAGCACTGGTCAAAAGACTGGGAAGGGAACACTTTTCTAAATAGAGGACAGGAGGCTCCCACTGAACCACAGAGCCACACAGAGCCAGAGTAGCTACCATAACCCAACCAATGTTCTCCGTACAAACTACATTAAACCAAATGTTACCGAATATTAAGTTTATATAGAGTGGCACTGTCTTAAGGAGAAATCTCTGCTTTTGTGAAGCATCTATTCTAAAATATTATACCAAAATATAGATACTACATATGAAGGTGTGCCTCCGATATAGAAAGAAAAAACAAAACAAAACAAAACAAAATCTATTCTCTCTATTCTTACCTTGAGTTCTTTAATTCCAGTAAAAATACTGACAGATGAAATGTCAGTCTCTCCGCTTGGTTTGCAGTCAGTCACGATTTCAATCACCTTATCTAAAGCCACTTTCATTCGCTCAAATACTCCTTCTTTGTTTTTATGAGCTGATTCGCAGTTGGGATGCCTGAGACATGTCTTCAAAACAATTGAAAATTTTTATTTTAAGACTTGGCCCATACTGTAATGCACAAAATCTTACAGAGAACATGTCATGCTAATAAAAATGGTTCTTTACCAAAATCTCCTGGGTCCCTGGCTCACTCAGCTGCTTCTCCTCACTAAAAGTGGAAGCAGGATGAGTAAAAAGCGATAGCAAGGTTAAGTGAAAAAGGCAGAGTGCACAACTGTATCTTTATACTTCAATAAGTTTACCTAAAATTTTTTGGGGAAAAAACTATCTTCATCATGATTAAAACGATTTTAAAATGTTGCCTTCCATGTGCAAAAACTAAAAAAGGATGAGGACAAATGAACAAATGTTATATGCCTGTGGCTACAGCTTTGATTTTTTAAAAATGATGTAAATGAAAGCTGCTCAAGGGGCCTCAATGTGAACAGAGCCTTCCAAGTGAGCTCCAGGGAGCTGTTGTGGCCTCACCAACCCAGCCTAGAGTAAATATACTGAGCAGAAAAGGCAATTCTAAATAAGCTGCTCAGGAGCTGTTGACTAGTTTATTTTTGAATCATATCGAGGGCTGGCCAGCTGCTGTTTGAAATGACCAGCACTCAAGTGACAATTTTGTTAAAAGTAGAATAGGGAATTAGAGGTATGAATCTACAGAATAAACAAATTAAAGGCTGGATTGATACTCCACTGTTACTTAACAGATTCTAACTTGCCTAGCTTTTTCGAGAGTACATGTGTTGGCTCCCCGACAAGACTGGCAAAGCCTGCAGGCAGTGACCGTGTGTGACAGGCCCCGACTCACAGCACCTAATACACCATCTTCCGCTCGGCTGCTCGCACAGAGCTGACTCGCCATCTAACTGCCCTTTGGAACTGGGAAGGGAGGTAGACTTCTTGCTAAAGGGTAAGTGAGATTTGATAGCTATAGCCTATGTTCCAATTTATCACTTTGATCTTTTAAAAAACATACAATACATAAAATAGATGCATTTAACCAGGTAAAACGAAAGTGTTCCTACCTTTGAGGCTGTAAGAAGCATCATTGTACACTTTTCAAGAACTGCCCTGGCTGCTGCCATTTTTGCCTTTTTCTTCTCATCTTTCAGATCCTAAAAATGAAATAAAACCACTGAGCGGTCTAGGATCCTGTAAACAATCCAACTTCTTGAAAAATCATTTACACAAGACTCAACTAATTAGGTAATGTGTAAAAAATGGCAAAGTGAACCAAAAAAAAAACAGGATAAAGTTTTATAAAATGTCACCACATTGACCTAGATATATCAACAGAAGGTATGGAAAGAAACGGGTGCCCTTTACCGAGGGCAGCAGAGCCAGGGACTGAGACGGAGCGGGGTGCCGCCTTGAGGCTCACACTCTGGTGGCCTGCACACTTGACATTCTCGTGCTCACATGGATACACCTCACTCCTGACCAGAAACAGCCATCCTATTCTTTACTCAGTTAAGAGTCACCTATTTATCAAGCATTTATGAGCTATTATTTCCTCTAAATTAGATACTTCGAAGTCAACTCTTTCAGAGACCAAGTCTGGTTAAACATAACAAATACAATGCCCTGAAATATTCTTAAGACGTTTCTCGGGTCTATCATTTTCTTCAACTAGATTACGAAGTCTGAAGCAGGCACTTGCTTTGAATTTTTTTCTTTTAGTTTCTCTTCATAGAGCCCTTGATAGAATGTGTGCTGTCACAAAAAGTACCTAAATATTGTGATCAAATCTAGAACTCTTATAATAATTTGGTCATGGCCATCTAAATCAGAGGTCAGGAGCCATTTTCAACAAAAGGCCATATAATAAGTTTTTCAGGCTTTCTGGGTCAAATAGTCTCTAAAACAACTACTTAACTCTGCCATCACAGTGTGAAAGTCACCCTGAGACAATCCACAAACTAACGTGGCTGTGTCCCAATAAAATTTTACTTATTGACACTGAAATCTGAATTACATAAAATTTTCACTTGTCACATTGGTCAGTTTTTCCATTTGTGAGTTGTAGGCCATACATGATGCCATGTATTATATGGTGATAACAAATGATTGAAAAAGATGGCATTTCAATCTGTTAGAGGGCTGGTCCATGGGACAAAAAGAGGCCTCCATAAATCCCAGATGGTCCAAGAGGCACTAAGTGAAGCATACGAACCAGCCTACCACTTTTCAAGCCAATATCCATCTTCTAACACCAGCTACAACCAGGAAAGTTCATGTCCATCATGATAGCCTATGGGACTATATTGGAACATCTCAAGAGCTTCCTCATTATATATCTACCCTGCTGACAAGATGCACTCATGCATGAATAACCCAAGAAAGAAAAGTCAATTCTAGATATAATATGGTCTTCTACCTCCCTAAATTTAGGAGCTTATAGTCTAAATTGAGGAACAGACCTATAAAAAACTAATATCATGGTGTAGGTTGAAAACTACAGCCTCTAAAATAAGACATAATGAAGTTCAATCTGCTAGCTGAGTGACCTTGGGAAAGTTTATTATGCTCTCAGGTTCCATCTCCTCAGGTGTGAATAATAGCAATACCTACCTAATAGGGATGTTTTCAAGATTAATAAGATCATATATATTAAGTACCTAGCACATAGCTAATGCAGGTAAATAATGGCTTGACTTATCACTACTGATGCTAATGGAGAAAACTGACAGAAATCAGTAACAGCAGAATAACATATAACACGTTACAAAATACAACCAGAATATAGATGATGACTCAATTTATTTGCCTGAGCCCTGGTAGAAGAGTCAAATGTACTTTCATAAAAGAGGAAGTATTAGATATGAGCCATGGTGGCAAGTATGACCTTTCCTAGTGTGTGTGTGGTTGAAACATATTTAATTGTTACATGTATGCAAAAAAAGACATGTAGATTTACTTACATTATCCTAGCTCCTTTATGAAAGGCTTTCTACACCAACGTTATAAATTTATAAATGTAATAAGCAAAGAAACCAACCCAAATGATCATAAAGATCACATCTCCATCGAAATTAAAAAGTATACATGTATTTGAAAATTCTTAAATGTGGCAAACACATACGTTTTGTCTATCACCAGTGAGATGTGCAAACTCCACCATTTCATTTCCAAATTGACTGAATATTTGGACAAACTCTTGAAAGCTATTCACTTTCTCTAGTCTTTCCATAGTTGCAAGAACCTGGAAAACAGAGAATATTTGATTGTCAGGTACAGATATGAAGGAGACTGAGATGTCAAGACTGAACAGAGAGGACAAAGGAGAAACACTAAATTCTTGGGGAGGGCTGAGAAGGAGTCGTCAGAGGGGAAGACAGGGAAACAGGAGCCCAGAGAAGGAGAAGCACATCCACAGGTTAGAATCATCAAGGGAATGATTTGTTTTTACGATGGGAAGACCTGAGCTTACTTGAAAATTAAAAGGAAAAAGAATACAAGAAACACCTCAATATATAGGAAATGAGGTCGTTTATGTAGGAAAGTCTGGGAAAGGTGGAAGTGTGCAGGACCGAGGTAATCAAATCTTCAGAGAACTAGGGAGACAGGGAGGATAAATAAATGCAATACGCAGGAGCCTTTGGTTCAGTGAACCAGAACTGAGGAAACCCCACTCTTCCCAAGAAAGTGGAAGGAAGGTCACCGCGCAGTGAGGAATGGAAAGGAAGGTGCGGCACTGTGAGAACAGTTACACAGCTTGGATCACTCAGGAATTGCCTGTGTTGAATAAATTAATTGCCAAGAGGCTTTGGGCAGGCAGGAGCCAAAAAAAATGAGAAACCTATAGTAGAGCCAATAGACAATGTTAGGTGTTTTCTTGATATTAGAATTAAGGCAAATAGATGTGAAACATATTTTCAAATACTTTTCTCAAAAATAATAGCACTGGATTAGCTTTCGTCAGACCAAGATAGGTAAAGAAAACACAGATATCCTGTGTTTACTTTTTAAAATGAGGATATGATGAATGTTTGGCATGTTAATCTGCCCTGGCAGCTCAGGAAGTCCAAGCGACCAGCACAGATAAGGCAGGTTGCTACCACTGACCACAAACTCTATCTGTCAGAGAGAGAGGGGCTTTTTCCTATCACCCTACCACTGCCCAATCCACCTCTCCAATTTCTTTTTTGCTTGAAACTCACACTCTTTAATTCACTCAACACTCATCTGGTAGTTTTGTCCTCAGGCTCGACTGAGATAATCCCTTCCCTGGCAGATTGCCCTCCTCCTTTCCTAGGGAATTATCCAGAGAAAGAAATGACTGTATGTGCCCTGGCTTCCCTGGATGATGGAGGAGCACAAACATTATCTGAAAGACTGGAAGAGTTCTAGACTGGGAGAGTTTAAATTATTCTGTAAGCTTTATGATTATTCATAATCTCTAGGGATGCTGCACACAGAAATTTTGTCGTACAGATAATTGTGGTTTCAGATGACTGAATTTTTTTCTTAAGTTTATAAATTATTATCCTCTGACTCTGAAAAAAAAAAAAAAGGTAAGGTACTGAGGTATTTGGTATTTTTATCAGCTAGGTTTCTATTACATATGCTGTCACGGCTCTTGGCTTTTTTTTCTCAAATTTGTACACATGAAAAGCTTTCACATATAAACCTCAACAAGTATATAATGGTTTTCTGAGAAGAAATATTATTTACATCTAAAAATTTAGACCCAGTACACACGCTGTTCAGGAATTATAGGTGTAGAAGAAATAGCACTCTTAAACTATAGACAACTGGAGGTATAAACAAGTAAAATTGAGAAGCATTGTCAAATTATCTGTTATTAACCTAAAAAACACTTTTAAACAATCCTAAAAGACACAAATATAGAAACACGAGAAAGACAAGTACCTTATTTCTTGATGTTATTATCTGCTTAATGACTACTCGGTCAGCCAGCAACAACACTTTCGTCACTGAAGAAAGAAGTAATCTTGCAGCCTTTATAACTCCTGTTTTATCTGTAAAAATTGTGATCTGGCCATCAGATTCTGGATGATTCAAGCTGCTTATATCTGTAAGTGCTGCAATCGTTTCTCCTAAGAAGAAGGCAAGGGTGAAAAGTTAAATTGGGAATAAGATGCACTTAAATTAAAATCCAGACTTTACTCTTGTAGGTAATGTGCTCAAGTGGGTAGACACTTGGCTTTGGAGTCTCATTTCAGGAAGAAGAAACAGCTTCTCCTTGATGAGCACAAGGATTATCATATGAGGCTCTCTAATGACAAAATAATGGCACATTCTTAAGAACTTAGAAAAACGTGTTGCTTTCACCAAGTTTGAAAAATATTTTAACTTTTCTTCCAGTGGTATGGCAAACTACATGACCTAAAAACACCTTCTTCTCTGTAAGACTAAGTAAGAGAAATCCCAAGAGCCAAAAACCAAAGAAGAACCTAAAGCAGAGCATTAAGCAATTGCCAAGGCATTGGCCAGGGGTGAGGGGATAGAGGGGCACTGGGGCAGGGGTGGAGGGTCACTGCCCATCTCCACAGCTGAAGAGCCTAGAGTTTTTATGAGCACCCATGGAAAGAAGACAAAGCTTTGGGCCCTTTGGGAGGCATCTTCAGTATAAAGGGGGCCTAGAAAAATCACCCATAGGCAAAGGGAAATAATATGCAAGTTTATCTATTGGGCAGCCTGGGCTCTGAGTGGGAAAACAATAAAAGTATCTCTCCTGAGAACTCAAGACAGAGGCTGACCCCGAGGCTTGCTGTTTGAATTTATACTTCTTATGATGCCCAGCATAAACCATTCTACCAAGTGAACTCCCAACTCTATAGAAAACGTCTCTTCACTATCAAAATGTTTTGATTTCTATAAGAGCAATTACCCATCAATAAAATAATACAAATATCTGAACTCTAAAAATTAAGCCAGACTATAATTTCTTCCAAACTTAACTGTTTAAATATTTATTTTATTTTATTTATTTATGATAGTCACACACAGAGAGAGAGAGAGAGAGAGAGAGAGAGAGGCAGAGACACAGGCAGAGGGAGAAGCAGGCTCCATGCACCAGGAGCCCGACGTGGGATTCGATCCCGGGTCTCCAGGATCGCGCCCTGGGCCAAAGGCAGGTGCCAAACCGCTGCGCCACCCAGGGATCCCCCCAAACTTAACTGTTTAACTTAACAAGATTGATTGATTAATTTTTTTTAAGATTTTTATTTATTTACTCATGAGAAATGCAGAGAGAGAGAGGCAGAGACACAGACAGAGGGAGAAGCAGGCTCCACGCAGGGAGCCCAACGTGGGACTTGATCCCGGGACTCTGGGATCACACCCTGGGCTGAAAGCAGGCACTGAACTGCTGAGCCACCCAGGCTTCCCTAACTTAACAAGATTAAAAAATAATAATAATAAGCTTCTCATCATCTTGCAATGTTCAAGGTAAGTTTTCACATACTAAATAAACCTCAGTGCATACTGGATTGATTTTCTCACAAAAGCTCCCTTGTCAATATTAATACATACCAAATAAACTATCAGCCCATAGGCTAAGGATCTCGAGTAAAAATACCTGAATTTTAATGGACAGGTCACAGGGCATGACATAATGGAATCAAGATTTAGGATCAGTCTAGAGAAAGGAGAGACTCAAAGTCAGGGTACTAATCAGGCAGCATTTCTTTTTTTTTTTTAATTTTTATTTATTTATGATAGTCACACAGAGAGAGAGAGAGGCAGAGACACAGGCAGAGGGAGAAGCAGGCTCCATACACCAGGAGCCCGACATGAGATTCGATCCCTGGTCTCCAGGATCGTGTCAGGCAGCATTTCAATTGTGGTATGAAGCAGTAAGGATCCTCCAAGGATGGTAGCTACAGGAATATAAAAAAGATGATTTGGAAGATACCAAGGAAAGAAAATATAAAATTGATACCTGAGCAGTGATAAGAAGAGGAGAAATGAAAAAAAAATGGCTTCAAGGTTGTGAACCTAAATCACTTTAAAAAAACATCACAGGCACAGAAAGGAAGATGATAAATTCACTTTCAGACAACAGGAATTTGAAAGAACACAGGAAAACCCAAAAGACAAGCCTGTAGGTATGGACTGGTTACATGTCCTGACAGTAGCTGAAACTCTACTAATAGAGGAAGTCTGTGGTAGCTAGCCTCCAAGACAGCTCCCAGGGATCCTCACCTCCTGGAATTTACTACATCCTTGTGTCGTCTCCTCCCACATCAGACCAGGGCTTGTATGGCAGAAATGATGGTATGGAACCTCCAAGATAGGTTTTTAAAGATATTAAGGTAACTATCTTGGTTGCTCGCTCGCTCGCTCTCTAAGGGAAGCCAGCTACCATGCTGTAAGCAGCCATTCCCACAAAGAGGCATAGGTGAGGAGAAACTCAGGCCTCTGCCCAAAAGCCAAAATAGAAGTGAAGCCTGACAATAACCAACAGGGAACTAGAAAGCAGATCCTGGAGTCCAGTCAAACCTTCAGATAACTACAGGTCCAGAAGATACTTGGAGGGCAACCTTATGAGAGACAATGACCTAGACCCCACTGGCTAAGTCACTCCCTGATTCCTGACCCTCAGAAACTATGTGCGATAAATTGTTTGTGGCTTTAAGTTGCTAGGTTTGGGTTAATTTGTTACACAGCAATAGGTCACAGTTTATATAGCAAAATATACGAGGACATGTGAGAATTAAACCTTAATGAACATAGAAAGGGGCAGAAGGGAAAGTATCCATTTGCAATAGCTTAGAGGATAAAAATGTTTCCAATCTGCCTCTGAAAAATGGTACTTTTTCCTACAGCTCTCAATCCTCAAAATTACTACATATGAGCCTGCACATATGGCATTATGTAACTTTTCCTTTTTCTGACTAACCCAGGCATTAAACTCCTAACTACGTGGGATGGTAACATTTGGTGAGCTCCACTATCATGGTCAAATTCTTCCTTAACATTACAAAATTGTTCAAAGTGTAGACTGTTCAGAAATTAGCTCCCTGAAAAGTCACAAAGCTGTCCTTTTAGCTTCGTGGTTGCAATTTTTAGCTTGTATATGTAATTAGTGTTGTGTCTTAATATGAAAATGTGTCTTAATATGAAAACCTAAAGTCAGTCAATTACAAACATTTATCAAGCTCCAATAAAAAATATGGGGCTAAGCAAACAAGTGAAAATGTTGGAGGGGGGCGCAAACTGGGTGGAGTCAAAAGTTAGAAACTTCTACTTACCAGAAAAGTCCTGGGGATATGATATATAACTTGATAAGCTAAGTCAATACTATATTGCATATTTTTTAAAATACTGCATATTTTTGGGGTGCCTAGATATCACACTGCTATCAAGTAAAGAGTTAAGACTGAAATCCAGGCAGTCTGACTCCAAAGTCCTACTTTACATTATTTCCCTCAATAAATATTAAATTGTCCAAATGAGAAGTTGATTACTATGGGCTGAGTGGGCTAGAAATATTTCAGGAGTGATTCAAGTTAAGTCTTAAATTTGTACATGTTAAGAGAAAATAGGGCTTCCATACTGCACAACTCCAGGAGGTGCCATTCTCATTCTCTTAACCAGAATGACAGAAGAGGTAGTTCTCAAGAAGGGAAAGGGCACTTCAAAAAGAGAAAACAGGTGAAGCCCATGACAACAGAGGGCTTCCAAAGTGCCACAGTCTTCAGGAGTGTGGGTCCGTGGACCATGCCCTCTTTTTTCACCCTATGCTGAGCACAGTGACCTCTTACAAAGTCCATAAGGTGAGCAGGACTCAGCTTGCCCTTTCATTCAAAAACCCCCACTCTTGGCTTTAATTAAGGGCTGTTATAAAAAAAAACAAAAACAAAAAAACACAGTAATATGTAGAACATCTCTACATTTTCTGCTGAATTGTCCATTGCATTATGTAATGTCTCTTGTGTAAGTGCCCACACAAAAATTTAGTGCCAGGAAAGAAACTGCTCTCCACTTGACAAGCTGGTTTGTTTCTTTTCAACAAACAATGAGAATTATATAACCCTTTCTTTCCCACATTTTTGTCTTGCCTTCCAGGAAGTACAAAGATAACTTTCATGCTTAATTAGAGTAACAATGTGGGCCAAAGTTTCCAGTGTATTTATTTTCATCTCTCATTGTTGGATTTATTAAACATGTATCTTTTATTGTAAGTTATTTCAAATCCTCTTTCAAATGAAGGCAAAATATAAATTATGAATAGAATAAGGCATCCTTTCTTCCCCACTTAAAATCTATTCACTATCACAGTGAGAGGCAACAAACTCAAGAGTCAATTCAGAATCCTGCTTTTAACCAATAATGAAGTCTTATCTATTTAACCACCTTAATGAATATTTCATGTACTCTCCCTGTTTTTTATTATCCCTTAGGCATTGCCTTGGCTTAGCCTGATTCATTGTAAAAGTTTCCATATTAATTTCCCCAACTTTAGAAGTGTGTGGGAAATATCAGAAAGGGAGACAGAACATAGAGACTCCTAACTCTGGGAAACGAACTGGGGGTGGTGGAAGGGGGGGTGGGGGTGAATGCGTGACGGGCACTGAGGGGGACACTTGACGGGATGAGCACTGGGTGTTATTCTGTATGTTGGTAAATTGAACACCAATAAAAATTAATTTATTAATAATAATAATAATAATAATAATTTCCCTGACTTTATCCTCAACTCTAATTAACCCTCATTTGTTCATTTCTTCCATCCTACCAGGAAGATTTCTAACACAAAACTATGTTTCTTCTCTGGTTGAAAATTCCTCAATCTGTCATCTATAGAGTAATACCTTAAGTCACTCATGTAATATACAGGACCATGCGTGATCTCGTTGGCCCCTCCCTATGAACTTGGCCTTATCTCACTTAGGATGACTCTCCAAATACACCTGCTCCTCCGTTAGGGTTGCCCATCTCAGTAAACAGCACCACCATTTCCCTAGCTGTTTATACTTCAAACCTTGGAGTTATCCATGGCTTCTTTCTACCACATCCTACCTCCAAACTATCAGCAAATTCTATTAGCACTACCTTGATAATATAACCAAACGCAACCAGTTTTCACCCCCTTAAATGCCATGACCTGATCTAACTTGCCATCACTCATCACCTGAACTCCTGCAACAACCTAATTGGTCTCTGATTTCACCCTCATGCCTCCTAATATCTATTCTCCATATAGGAACCACCAGTGACCTTTTAAAAATATGAGATTATGTCACCACCCTGCACCAAACCCCCCATTAGGCCCCCTATCATACTTAGAACACACTCCAAACCTCCTATCTTTGCTCTTCTAGAAAGCCATACCTGTTCTCACTCTTCTCCTTGCCAGAAGTGCCATTCTTCCAGATACTCATTCATGTAGCCCTCATTGGGGCTACTCCAATGTTACATCCTTAGAGGAGCTTCCTAACCCCCTACCTCAATAGTTTTTAACTAGGGGCCATTTTGACCCCGTGAATATATTTGGCAACGTCTGGAAACATTTTTGGTGTCACAGTGGGGGAAGAGGGGAACCTAATGGTGTCTAATAGGTAGAAGTTAGGGATCCTCTTAAACACTTTATAATGCACAGGACAGCCCCCCTACCCCCCAGCAAAGAGTTATCAACAAGTAATTATCCAGCCCAAAATGTCAACAGCATCAAAGTTGAGAAACCTTGTTCTCAATATACCTCCATTGATCTACTAACACTTACTCTGCTTTGTTTTTTCATGAATAATTATCATATATCTGTTCATTTGTTTATGGTCTCCCTCATTAGAACGCAAGCTCTATGAGGGCAGACATTTGACTGATGTGTACAGTTATATCCCTATGGCCTAGAAGAAAGCCTGGCATAAAGCCAGCACTCAGTAAACCTTGATTGAAAGAATAAATGGATAAATTACACTTCAACAAAGCTGAACTATTCTTATCCATCAAAACACCCCAGGTTCTCTCAGGCTTTGGTGCCACCAGCTATAGAGAACTGTGGGACATCACAAAATTTGAAGTTGCTATGATTTGTCTGCTATGAGCAAAGGAACATGCTAATTTTTTAAAGATTTTATTTTTAAGTAATTTCTATACCTAATGTGGGGCTCAAACTTACAACCCTGAACATGCTAATTTTTATTTCTATTTTCTACTTGGTAGCAGTTACGCTAATATGCTCCTCGAGGGCAGAGTCCATGCCTCACATTTGTCTATACCTCTGGCATGTCTATGGTTAATGGCAAAAATGGAAGACGCTACCCTACCCAATGAAAGAATTCAATATGTCAGATTTAGGATCTGAGCCAAGAGAAGTTCAATATTCCTGGAAGCTAATCCAGCCCTTTAATGTCCTAGGAATCTGTAATCATAAGGGCTAAAGCACAGTACAAATCTTTACTCAAAATAAGATGGTAATTTGTCATCATATCCAAAGCAATAAAACTGACATAAATAGGCTTTAATATCAATATCACATACCTGCTTGTTTAGCTTCAATACAGGCAATATTTATTTCTTCTTTCAAATCCCAGTTTTCATTGGCTATAGCTTCCCCTACTTTAACAAATCTTCCAACTGCCAAGTTGACGGCTTGTCCTACACGCTGAATTGCTTGCAGAGTTTTATCAGACTTTTTGGTATTATCTTTATGATTAATAAGCGTGGTGATCTAAAAATAAAAGATGAAAGCAACTTGATTAAATTTTATCTCAGAATCTTTTTAAGCTATATCACAAAAGCCAAGAAAATTAAACCAACCATACTGGATTAGGCCCAGCATATAGCAAGTCTCTGGCCTAACAGACTAAATTGACAGCTTTACTGCTTCAGCCCAGAGACAACCAGTAAAGCATCCATCCTGCATCCCTCCTCAGGACAATGTTTCCATTAATAATAATTCCAAGTTTACCTGATGACAGTTATCTCGTACTATAGTTCCAGAAGCCCTCCAGATATTTCAACAAATTTAAAGACAGGAGAAAAGCGGGAAAGGAGGGATCATTACATTCCAAAAAAACCCACAGAAAAATCAAAGCACTTCTTAGTTATTACTGCATAATAGAGATCTGGTTTCCTCTAATATGGCTTGAGCTGCTATGAGAGCAGAGACAGCACCTTGTTCCCCTTGTATTCCACTCCACTGCCTAGCACAGTGTATAGGCTGTACAAAATGATATGCGTGCCGTACATGCTTACTGAATTAGCCAGACATTTTAGAATGTCCACTGTAACTCTGTTTTATACTTCTCTACATGTTGTTGTAGATCCAAAGTAAATTAAATACCAAGAGTTTTAATACTTGATTCGAGGCACTGAAATAAAATATAAAATGTGACAAGTTAAGCTTGTTGAAACAAATATAAATCTTCAAAATGTCCTAGAGATCTAGTACATGAACCATAATGACACATAAAAATATTTAAAGAATGTTACATGAAAAACATAGATCCTAAATAGTACATGTCCACTGAATATAACTGTGAAATGATTTATATAAGTGCACTAACAAACACTAGAATGGAGAACTATGAAAAGAGGAAGGGAATGGTTCTTTGAGCAACTACCATGTGTCAAGCATTTTATATGTTACTGTATTAATAATTTAGAATCAGGAAGGCCTAGGTTTGAACCTTGGCTCTGCCATTACTAGCTAAATAACCTAGGGAAATTCACTTAATCTCTCCAAATTTCCTCACCTATAATATTATTTTTTAAATTTTGAATATTTCTTAGATGCTAAGTCCTGAAGGTATATCAGTGAACAAGACTAACACAATTCTGTCCCTATTCAGTTTACAGTCTATCAGGATAAAATGATTCAATCATATAAAATATATTTGTTACACACCTATTATATGCAAAATAAAATTTCAGGCAACGATGAAAAAATAATGTACAACAAAAAAAGACCCAAACTCTCATTCGGGTTGGAGGGAGGAAAGGCACGATAATTAAAGAAGTAACCAGAAAAAATTAATGTAAATGCTATGTAAAATATCAAATAGAATAATGTGATAGAAAGTATTTGTGTAGCTACCTCCGATTAGTTGATCTTCCTTCTATGAGAAATGCTATTTAAGCTAAGATGTAAATGATATAAGGTAGGCAAGCCGGCAAATACCAGGAGACAAAACATTCTAGGGAGAAGGTATAATTGGAGAAAGAGAGAGAGAGAGAAAGGGAGAGATGGGGAGAAGGATAGGGAGAGAAAGAGGGAGGAGGGAGAAAGAACGGGAGCCTGCCCTGTACAAGGAATGAGGTAAGGTCAGATGCAGTAAAAGAGCAGGGGCAAGGAGACAAATATAAAAGCAATATCCAGCAGGTGGCCAGGGATCAGCCATGAAAGGCTGTGAATTGGAATGAAAAGTTGGTATTTTATTCTAAGTGTGACAGGAAGCCACTGAAAGGTATCTAAGCAGGAAAGTGGTGTAATCTCTGTAGTGATTTTTTTAAAGATATTTGTTTGTTTGTTTGTTTGTTTATGAGAAAAACTGAGAGAGAGCCAGGGGAGGAGCAGAGGGAGAGGCCAGGCAGACAGAACACAGAGCCCATCGCGGGGCTCGATCTCACAACCCTGACATCACGACCTGCACCAAAATCCAGAGTCCGACGCTTAACTGACTGAGCAACCTAGGTGCGCCCTATAGTTATTTTTAAATGCGTCCACAAGTTCCTTGAGACTTCCTCAAAGAGGTAGAACCTCATCTTTCTCCCCTTAAGTATGAACTGAACTTAGTGACCCACTTCTAATGAACAAAGTGGAAGCAATGGCATACTTCTGAGAACAGGTCATAGAAAACATTGTAACTTCCATCTTCCCTTCCTCCTCAATCTCAGATCATCACTGTGGGAGAAAACCAGCTATCATATATTGGAGGGCACTCCAGCAACTCTATGAAGAGACTCGCAGGAGAAGAAACTGAGGCCTCTGGCCAAAAGATAGTGAAGACCTGAAGCCTCCTGCCAACAGCAAGAAGAGTGAACATGGAAACAAATTCTCCAGCCTCAGTCAAGCCTTCTGATTACTATGGGCCAAGCCAACGTCTTGATTTCAATCTCACAAAAGACCTTAATTCAGAGCTAGCAGGTAAGCCACGCCAGAACTCCTGACCCACGGAAACTATGGAATGATATATGTTATTGTTTTAAAGCATTAAATTTAGGGTAATTTTTTATGTATCAGTAGAGAACTAAAGCATGTTTTGGTACCTGGAACTGGAACAATGCTGTAATGAAACCTAAAATATGGGAATGGCTTTGACATGAGGCCCTGGATGCTTAATGACTTTGAGGAGTTAGTTAATGCTGGAGAGTGCTGAATAAATTTCGTAGAAGCATGGTGACCACTGAGGAAGCTATGTGTGAAGGCTGAAAGGAAAGTGAGAAAAATCTTATTGGAGGGATGCCTGGGTGGCTCAGCAGTTAAGTGCCTGCCTTTGGCTCAGGATGTGATCCTGGAATCCCGGGATCGAGTCCTGCATCAGGCTCCCTGTGTGGTGCCTGGCTCTCTCTCTGTCTCTCATGCATAATGCCCACTTGGTTTCTTATTTAAAATGTAAAATAGAAGAGGAGAGAGAAAAGCTAAATGAAGGACTGTTAAATAAAAAAGAAGTCAAGCCTTGCTGGATTTGAAAATTCCTTGTTTCTCCAGAAGGCAAATGATGTTAAAATTAAGAATGGCTTCCAAGCAAAAACAAAATCTAGGGGACTTTCAGGAAAGCAAGGTCTAAAGATGAAGTCTTTGGCTCAGGGTGTGATCCCTGGGTCCTAGGATCAAGTCCCCCATTGGGCTCCGCACAGAGAGCCTGCTTCTCCCTCTGCCTACGTCTCTGCCTCTCTCTGTGACTCTCTCATGAATAAATAAATTAAATATTAGAAATAAGAAAGAAAGAAAGAAAGAAAGAAAGAAAGAAAGAAAGAAAGAAAGAAAGAGAAGGAAAGAAAGAAAGAAAGAAAGAAAGAAAGAAAGAAAGAAAGAAAGAAAAGAAAGAAAGAAAAAGAAAGAAAGAAAGAAAGAAAGAAAGAAAGAAAGAAAGAGTTAAAAGTGTGGCTATAAAAATATTATGTTAATGACTTTTAAGATGCTGAGGAATGTTCCCTCTATCCCTACACTCTGAAGAGTTTTGATCAGGAATGGAGGCTGTATTTTGTCAAATGCCTTCTCTGCATCTATTGAGAGGATCGTATGGTTCTTGGTTTTTCTCTTGCTGATACGATGAATCACATTGATTGTTTTACGAGTGTCAAACCAGCCTTGTGTCCCAAGGATAAATCCTACTTGGTCATGGTGAATAATCTTCTTAATGTACCTTGGATCCTATTGGCTAGTATCTTGTTGAGAATTTTTGCATCCATGTTCATCAGAGATTTTGGTCTATAATTCTCCTTTTTGGTGGGGTCTTTGTCTGGTTTTGGAATTAAGGTGATGCTGGCCTCATAGAACAAGTTTGGAAGTATTCCATCTCTTTCTATCTTTCCGAACAGCTTTAGTAGAATAGGTATGGTTTCTTTTTTAAACGTTTGATAGAATTCCCCAGGGAAGCCATCTGGCCCTGGACTTTTGTGTCTTGGGAGGTTTTTGATGACTGCTTCAATTTCCTCCCTGGTTATTGGCCTGTTCAGGTTTTCTATTTCTTCCAGTTCCAGTTTGTGGTTTTCCAGGAATGCGTCCATTTCTTCTAGATTGCCTAATTTATTGGCGTATAGCTGTTCATAATATGTTTTTAAAATCGTTTGTATTTCCTTGGTGTTGGTAGTGATGATCTCTCCTTTCTCATTCATGATTTTATTAATTTGAGTCTTCTCTCTCTTCTTTTTAATAAGATCTCAGGAAGACTCAAGCTGGTGTTCCAGAGATCCATTCACTTAAACAACAGGCCTCCTGAGAAGTTTCAAAGGTATTGTCCTCAGGAGCCCCAGCAGAAGCTCAAGTTAGAGCAGGGCTTATCATAAAGAGACTTGTGGGGAAAGTCTGTCTAATTGAGTGAGCCCAATAAGGTTCACAGGGGACCTACACAACTTTAAAGATAATTGCGTCCAGAGAAATGCTACCAGCTTGGATTGAAGGAGATAGATCAAAATGAAGAGAGGCTTTTGTATCTCCAAGCTTCCATAGGCAGGGAGCAGGCTGAGAAACTATGCAGCTGCAAACATGGGCTGCCTCTCATGATTGAGGATGGCTCAAGAGGGCAGTGCTAGAAGCCATGAAGAATAATCATTCCCAGGCCTCAGGTCTTAATCAAAGTACTGCTAAACTGTGTTTGGGTGGGTTTGAGATGTTTCCCATTTTCAAACAGAAGTATATGGCAGTTATCCTATACCTATTTTCCTGTTTGTTTCATTTTGTTTTATTTTTGGGGGGTTGCTTATTGTTGTTTTAACAAAAATGTCCATGATGGCTATCCTCCACCTGTCCTACCATTATAAGTTGTGTGTATGGGAACAGATAATCTGTCGCTCTAATTCACACATCTTCAGATCAAATGGAACTATACTCAAGGAGCTACACTTAAGGAGACACATACAAGAAGCCCCATCTGAATCAGAATTAAATGCTCAAATCTTGGATTTCCAGCTGATGCCATAGAGGGATGAGACTTTCAGGAGGACTGGGGTGGGAGTTGTTTGCAAATGGGAAGAAAGTAAACAATTTGTGGTCAGAAGATGAAG